CAGTCGTGGAGATTAGTATTTTTACTATCCTGCAGAAACAGTTACTCCAGGTTTAAACTATGTCTTCAAAAGTAAGAAAACCAAGTTGTTGAATTGCGGATAGGTCTTCTCCGAGATCCGTGCAAACGTTTTCTTCTCTTTCAGCAGCTGAGTATTAAATATTAAAATTAAGTAAAGTCATACGGGTCACGGAGGCGATCGTGGTAAAAATAAACTTATATTGGTTTCTACCAAAAGACCGAGGGTCACGGCTTCCCGTAAATAAAGATAGGGCTCAGGTAAGGCACTATGTAATGTACCTGTGCTTCATGCTAGACAGCTGGTAACATAGGACTGCATTTATAAACAAACCTTCGTATCCATATTGTTTACTTGAGTTAACATCGAGGTATGGGTAACTATTAAATTAAGTATTACGAGTATTAGTAATCAGTCGGATTACTTCAAAGACTTATTGGATAAGAATGTTCTGTGAGTATATGACCATAATTGGACGATTCTATTATTGTGCTTTCAACTAGGCTTTTAAACAGCACGAGGGACGGTCTGCTTTGGTGATCTAAGTGCACAGACGTGGTCGTGAAGATTAGGCAAGATTTGTTGCCGCATTATGCAATGAGTTAGGAGGTGTGTGTGACGATAGTCAATTAAGTATTCTCCAAAAAAAAAGGTTTCCAGGTGAACCAATAGAAAGCCCAGACCGGTCTCAAAACATTACATATGCCAGTCACTTAGTTGTTCCCCAGGCATGTACACAAATCATTTGAGAGAATTATCATGGTGACATTGTGTCAGTGTAGAACCGATTACCGAACGCCCTCTTTATACGTTTTGTACTTCGACACTGACTATACTTCACGAAACTATGAATTTAAAGTCCTCCGGAGCGTACCAAATTGTGCCTCTACGACATGGTGGAGGAGGAAATGGAGGAGTCACCAGAGTTATTCAGGACTGAGGTGAATGACCATCCACTGGTTTCAGTTAACTCTAACAATTCCTCAATTGTGCTAGACCACTTGGTATGCTAAATACCACGGATAAACCCGAAAGGGATTTTGTAACACCGTAAAAGAAATTTGTAATTTTATATAAATAAATAAATGTGAATTTAATGAATAAATGAAATACATTTTGACACATATAAATACACCTGACTTGCAATAGACAGGACCTATCTTGTAATGTTATGGAGAAAAAAAATTACTGTGATTGAAACTACTTGAGTTGTCTCAACAGCACAGATTAATTAGGCTTTTAAAACTAACCTTTGATAAATATTTTTACACAAAAGCTGTCTAAGATGTAGAGATATGTACGAGTAGATACATTCAACAAACGTATGTCAATCAGACGGATTACTGGCGAAATCGTGGTTTGGAAAGAACCTCTAAAAAAAGTCATATGACATAAGTACATAGAAAAAAGAAGGTAAATTATATTTCATTAAATAAAGCTAAAATTATTCAATTGGAGATTAAGAATGAAGAAAAGGATTAGTGTATGTATTATGTGTACTCATCTTTATCTTATATACTAGAAGACCCGGCGAACTTCGTTTCGCCCTATAATCAAGAAATATCTGTTACGTTTTTTTATTTATATTTTTGGAGTTTACCTATTAAAGCCATAAAACTCCGTGTTTTGAAGTGATTAGGAATGATTAATAGTTAATATGAGAGTTACACTGAGCTAGCAAAATAATAATTGTCAACGTTACTACTACACTTGATGCACAAACAATAACGATGGCCGACAACTGTGTAGGGAGTGAGAGAAGTCTAATTGTGTGAGAGAAACAGAAGACCGGCTTCGTTCTCATCCCTACTCCGTGATGTTTACTGGGTCAGAAGTGACACCTGTAGATATCTGGCGGGGATAACTTATTAAATGACGATTGATCAGTTATCGACCGGAGATGAAAAATGATTAAATTACTAAAATAGCTATTAAAAAATAAGGGTTGATCGTAGAAGGGTGAAAATTTAGGATTGTATGTATTTTTGTACGTTGTATCATAAAAAAATAGTAATTAAAAATTTTGTCTAAAAAATAAAAAAAAAAAAATTTAGGGGTGGACTACCCCTAACATTTAGGGGGATGAAAAATAGATGTTGGCCGATTCTCATAGCTACCGAATAAGCACAAAAAATTTCATCAAAATCGGTCAGGTTGTTTCGGAGGAGTATGGGCACGAAAACTGTGACACGAGAATTTTATATATTAGATTTAAACGAGCAATTCTTGTGTTTATATGCAATAATGCACCTCAACCTAATATTATATATTACTGTGTAAGCATTGTGTTTTTATTGGTTAGGATATATTACTGTGTAAGCATTGTGTTTTTCTGAATAAAGTTATTATTATTATTATTATATACAGGGTGACTGGTGAATTACTATCGATACTTGAGGAATTGATATTTGACGATCCTATATGACAAAATAAAAATTAATATAACATCATCATCATCATCATCAGCCTATCAGACGCCCACTGCTGAGCAAAAGCCTCTTTCTCACATGGAGAAGGTTTGAGCATTAATCACCACGCTTGCTCAAGACGGGTTGGTGATTTCAAACTTATAATTGTGAAACTATAAGTCCAGGTTTCCTCACGATGTTTTCCTTCACCGTATGTCAGTGATGTCTAAATACTCTCAGAAAGTACATATGACTCCGAAAAATCACATTGGTACTAGCCAGGTTTGAACCCGCGCCCTCGGCAACGAGAGGCGGACCCTTTAACCACTAGGCCACCACTGACTTTTTAACATATAACATAAATATTAATAAACTTCTAAGTAAAGTTAACAAAAAGTTATATAATTAATTACGCATCGTTTGAACACCCTACAGATTAGGTATACACACATACACACACACACGCGTGCGGCGGCGTGGTGTTGTATCAGCACGCCGCCGCACGCGTCCACACTTGGAACACTTGGAACGTGTCCACACTTAATTTATTTATACGGAAATTTGGTCAAAAATTAAGTACCTATTTTTTTACATAATTCGAATGAGAATCATGTACCGAGTATTCTCCTTAAATATTGATAGTAATTCACCAGTCACCCTGTATATTGGAATCTCGGAATCCGCTCCGCTAGTATGTATCGGATTTCAGGGGCCATAAATCGATCTAGCTAGGAATCATTTTTAGAAAACGTTGTTTTATGAAAAAAAAATAACAAAAAGGCGTTTAAAATATGACTTTTCCTGACATCTATTGGCGAATAGTAATATATACTACTTTTTGCTAATTGCTTTTAAACGACGCAACAGCAGATGGCGTTGTTAAGTAACAGGAAGGCATTGAGTGTTTGTTTTGACTTAATTGAAATTAATTATTGTTGATTTTTATTGTTTTGTGTCTTCTTAACGTGTTCACATAAAAATGCCTACACGAAATTATAAAAAAAACACAATATAAATACTAAAAATTCCTAAATACCGAGCAAAGCTCGGTAACCAGATATTGTTTTTGTTATGTGACAAGGATTATTAGTTGACTTAATTTTTTTCAGAAGTTTTCATTATTCAAGTTTATAAGGAATTAAAAAAGAGGTATGTTTTCGAATTTCATTTTGAAGTATTATTTCTTTCCAAGTCAAAATATAATTGATCTTGCTTTTCCCTAAAACCATTTAATATTTATATTAATAATAAAATACGGAGCTAATAAACTTTATTATATTACTTTACATTTCACATATTATATTATCGTATTTATTTAAGTACATTTTGTTTCTAGACACAGGTGCATTGAGACTAGTCTAATGTTATCCTATTTTGATATTCCTAGCTAGCTACAAGTATAATATCATTTTATCTTACGTCTATTTTTTACTATTTAATTTTAAAAATTAAGGTGTGTATGAGTTGAAACGACGTCTACACGTTTTATTGTGTGAATTCAACATTACATGAAATGTTAATGCATGTTGATAGCAATTTGAACTACTATTTGCTTCTGAAAGAAATATTAAAGTGTAGATAACATCGAGTAAAGCTGATTGAAGGACTTAGAAAATAATTGACAGGCGTCTTATAAAGAAAAAAAATAGTCTATATAGTCGTTTCAGAAGTGAGTTATATTTGTAAGACTAGAATTTTATGAAATATCTTGTGATTCTTAACTTTTAATGTAAAGCTGTTTCTTATCATATAATTATTTGTCAAAATATAAACTTAAAACCCCTTCTGTATTATTTGTACAGATCAGAACGTAGCACTGCAAAATTATAACTCATTGATAGAGTTAAAACCAACAAGTCTCAAAGAGCCTTGAAGTGTTGGTAACACTATATGTATTTGATATTTAAATGTCCATAGCACATTCCTTCAGTTTCAATGTGATTTAAAAGTGAAGGTTGTGTGTGTGTGTGTGTGTGTGTGTGTGTTCAGTGGTCGGTGAGGAGCGCGGCGACAGGCACAGTCGGCGTCCTGAGCGGCCGCAGCTCAGCCCCGGAGCTCTCACTCAACACGAGCGTGTCCTGGACACAGCAGGACGTCTTCATGGACTCCGTTGACTGCTTGTGATTCTGAACGATACAAATATTTGACTTTCACAGATGTTACTGGTGGATAAGCTTTTAACTCGAGTGAATCGGGCTTTAAGAAGAGTGATACTTTGTAATATTGCCTTCCCTTTATTTTATAATATTGCCTTCCCTTGAACTCACTGCCTACCCTTCAAATATTTGTAGGAATGAATTTATAGAGAACCTTTCAATGAGAAGGGAATCTTTGAAGAAAAACTGTGGAGGTGGAGCACATTAAATAACACGATAATAAATTGAATAAAATTAATATTTTTCGGATTTACTACGCAATTTTATTTATTTTAACTATATAGTCCAACAGATGAAGCCTAGAAGATTTTCATTTTCGTTCTGAGTTACAATAATTACAAACGCGTAGTAAATCTGAAAAACATTAGTTTTATTTCAATGGATACTCGCGAAAGTCTTAAATTTCATTACCGCAATAAAAGTTTGTATCGCGGAACAAGAGGGGAACTGTTTAGTATAATCGTACGGTCGTTGGAAGTTTTGGTCGATGACCAGAGCTTCGTCACGTGATGAAGAACAATGTGTTATTGTTGTAGTATTTATAGAACAACTGTAGGGTGATATTAACATAGTCACATGACCGACGACAAAGACATCGAGTGGATGTAATTAGGACGATATAATAATAAATGAATATTTATAATAAGTAGGTATTCAAATCAATCGAGCTACGGGAACATTAGAGATGTTTTAATCTACAATATACTGGCGTGTTAGTTTTTGAAATTGAACATACCCGTTTGAAGCAGTGCGCGATGGAGTGACACAGGGCGGTGATGGAGATGTGTCTCCTCTGTCTCATGAGGACGTACAGCACGGGGTCCAGCACGTAGTTGAGGAGCATGAGGAGGTCGGACAGAGAGGACAGGAGCCGCAGGCGAGGACGAGCTGACGGACCCAGGGACAGGTACAGGGCTGACGTTACCTATAGAGTGGGGCGAATAGATTACAATTAACGAAATGAGGACTCCCTTAACAAATAATTGAATTGATAAGGAGCTTACTTAATGTATACTTATGTACTTATGTAAACCTTTTGGAAAACTCCAAAGGCCATCAATAAATTAACAAAACTCTGAATGCGGCAGTCTTATTTAAATGGAGCAGGTTTTTCAACAAGTTTCTGAATCCCGTAGAGTATGTTTAACGAGTTATTTCAATTTAGATACCAAAAGGTACTTTGTTTCTAATAAACCACGTTAGATAAGATAACAAGTGATCGTCTGTGTACGTAAAAAAGAACTTGTAAACCAAACGACTATTAGAATATATTATCTATAACAGCATATATATATAAAAGTAATTTGCTGAAAACCTTTGTCCGTCAGTTCACACGACCGAGAAGTTACTTTAATTATTGAGCTCCACAGGCCCTCGCTGCGACGCCCACGCCCGCACCATAATTGATTAATTCTTTTAAATTAACCCTAAGTAGATTGTAATATTGAAGTAAAATTGTTTATTCTACGATTGTTTCAGATACGTTTAAAAGCTTATGTCTAAAAATATTATTTTGAATTACTATTTTGATAAACTAACTATACTCGTTTAAGAAGATTCAGAGTAGTCCATTCCATAAGTTACAATAATACTATCATCCAATGATAACGTTTCAGCTTGAACATTATCAGTATTATTATTAAGATCATACTCGTACAATCGCTGATTACTGTCGTTTCATATATTTCTTTCTTTTGTTTTCTATAACGAGATGTCAGAAGGAGGGCGACCTTCATATTGTAACAAGAAAATAGTTTTTGATCCGCAAGCATCGACGCTGACCGACATCCCATTTCATGCTCATCTTGTTTCTGATTCTTATTTATGATCGACTCACGAATGACTTATTACAGTTGCACACCACTGATACACAGACACGTGAACATCTAGTTGGTTTTTAATACATATTATTGAGTAAATTCTTCTATTGTCATATGTTTTCTATAACCGTTAGTATCATTCGTATAAATATTTTACATATATTAAAATAGTTCGAATTAGTTGTTTACTGTTCTTATGTTAAATCTCTAAAGATGTTGATGCGAGGGATACATGTACGATCACCTTAAAGCTGGAAGCTCACTTCGATACTAAACTAAACCTGTACATCTCCTTCAAACAGTGAAACAGTTAGTATTAATAAACAAAGAGGACTTAAAATATGTGTCCTATTGTTCATAATTTTCATTTATTGATTGATCAACAAATCTGTAAACAAATTCTCGGGCGACGCCATAAATTAACTGTCATTAAATATCCATTTCAGGAATAAATAAATGTCATTGGGATAATAAATGTTTGATCTGAAAATAGGTCATATTTACAACATCTCTCATTGACATAGTGATCAATAAACATACGTCAAAACAAACATGAACTAACTGTGTCAAGCAGCAGGCTGGCTGGATCATCACCGGCATAAGAGTTCTTTAAACCTATGACTGGATATAAAGTCATGTATGGAAGAGATCAAATAGTTTTTCGACTTCCTATTGGCAGGCATCTAGTGAGTTCTTACAAATAAAGATGGATTTAATGCGAATGCCATTATTGAAACAATGAAATATTTTAGCGCGGCGTTCCTTGCATACAAACGACCCGACAAAACAATTGTTATGGAACATTTCATTAAACATTCAGGGTAGTGTTGTGTTGCCTTTACTTATCTATTATTTTAATTGTACGCGTAATTCTTAACGAATGTCAAAGTTATTACATCATAAATATATAGAAATATAATGGTAATTTTTAAATATATACTATTTTCTATAATTAAATGATGAATTTGTTTGTTGTTGTTTCGTCTTGAATTTATTAATATAGTATCTGGTGTGTGTGTAGCGGGTCGGCGCCGAACTAAATGCCGTGTGTATCCTGAATACCGAGAGGAAAATAAAAATAACTCTCGATACTAAAATGATAGCTCCGATCAGTACTGACATCAATATACATAGTTATTATTGACAGAGGGACCGCGCTGACCGGTCTGTAAATTAATAAACAGATGAAACTTGTGTACATATAATAAACGACTATATTTGTTGTCGTTAAAACTTATCTCTTAAGACTGAAGGAATCTAGCACACCAATAACGATCTATATATACAGTAATATATGTAGATAGAGAGATAGAAAGACATAAAGTTAAAGCTTTTAGAGCAATTGAATAATGAACGTGAAGAGCAAGTTTCAATAATATTAAGTGAACGCTGTACTTATTTAGAATTACTATTTTCCATTAAGAAACTATTGTAGAACTAAAACAGGTCAATGTTAAATTTCAGGAATTAATGATATTTTTTAATTTAACGAAATAAAAATTTATTCAGCAAATCACTACAGTCTGCTTTTAATAATATTTGAGATTTTCGCGTGAACACATTTAGATGCTATGAATCTCATAAATACCTACATCCCACATTTATCGCATTATTTTAAAGTTTGGATTGGTTATTTTCAACAACCATAATTAGCGGCAGACCAGATGAAAAAAAGTAAAGTAATATGAAAAATAGTATCATTTACACATTGTGTACATTGATTAAGGAAAGTTCAATGAACCGGTTACAATAAACGATTTAAAAAGTAGCATCCTTATCACATTGTCAATACTAATGGCGTGAGAATATTATTCAAGAGAAGGAATTCCACCTGGAGCCGCCAATTAAATCGATCTTCAAGGTTATCACTCACAAGGAACCAGGTTTATCATGGGACATGAGACCGACACGAGTCCGACACGTCCGCGGAATATAAATACAGATCCATTATAGTCGATGGTGTACATACAGCGGACGTGCACAGGTTAATAACTATTGATACTTCACACTTTACTTTGTATACTTAATTAACTAAACTGATCATGACACAATCAAAAGATTCTCTTCTTTTACAGTTAACATAAAGCTCGAGTGTTGTTTTAAATATTTGATTAATCATTGAACTACGTGTCAGTCCCGGTGACGCCGTAAAAGCCATTAAGGCTAACAGCTACAGTCAAGTCGAAACAAAAGTACGACGTGTATGTAAGCTCACCATCTGCGGCAGCCAACAGATCATGAACAACACGGAGAGTGTGGCCATGAGTCTACTGAAGGCGACCTCCTCCGCCGTGGCCGCGTTGTGGTGAGGCTGGGTGCTGCGCTGACGACACGAGCTCTTGGACACGCGACGGACGGCCGGCGGACCTCCGCCCCGGGGAGCTGTGATGGCGTACAGGGCGCGGATCACGGCCAGGTTACAGTACACTAACACCGCACACAGCAGGGTACCTGGGTAGAGGAATGAACAAACAATCACAATAAAATATTATTGATTATGCAGTACAACAACGTCTTTGATAGTCATTAATACATTGTAAACAGATATGTAAATATAGAATAAGAAAACAACTTGGCGGATGTTAGTTGCGGAATATTTAGAATACAAAGTCCGCTGATCGCTTAAAAACGTGACCGAGCCAGGAAACTGGCTCCTGCATCGACAGCTCTAGCTAGGTATCCTACATGAGACGTCGAGTAAGAATTGAAATATATCAGAATATTATGATAGTGTAAAGCTGTAGCACTATTTAAAGAATTAAGGAGGTGACTTACTGAAGTTTAAAATATCTCAAAATCATAAGCCAAAAGGCAAAACGAGCATCAATGCATCTTTAATCGCATTCATTTGGATGAAAGATTCAGTTTTATGTTTTGTTATCATAGAAATATCTAAGAATTTTTTTATATTCAAATAATCTGCCAAAAAAGTTTATGAGAGATAAAAATGCGTTTTCTCTAAAATATGTTTTGATAAAAGAACTATAACAAAAATAAGGCCACCAAGGTTAAATTGTGAATGATATTAACAATGTATAAAGTTCTAATTGACCCAGGCCACGTACCGAACATAACATAAAACACAGCATAAGCGAAGTCCACGCCACTGGTGGCCATCCTATACCGTGGACAACAGCGGTGTGTCTGGTCGTAGTAGAGACCCACGCCCAGCACCGGGGCGCAGGTTAGAGCAGCAGCCCAGAACCACGACACGAGCAGAGTCATGCGGATCACGTAGTACGTCACTTGCTACAACACACAAACACACACATTATACAGGGTGGCTGGTGAATTACTATCAATACATGCGGACGTGATATTTGACGATCATATATGACAAAATAAAAATTAATATAACATAAATATTAATAAACTTCTAAGTAAAGTTAACCAAAAGTTATGTAATTAATTACGCATCGTGTGAACACCCTACAGATTAGGTATACACACGCACACACACACGCTCGTGCGGCGGCGTGGTGGTGTATCAGCACGCCGCCGCACGCGTCCACACTTGGAACACTTGGAACGTGTCCACACTTTATTTATTTATACGGAAATTTGGTCAAAAATTAAGTACCTATTTTTTTTACATAATTCGAATGAGAATCATGTACCGAGTATTCTCCTTAAATATTGATAGTAATTCACCAGTCACCCTGTATATATATAGGTATAGAGATTACGACTTAATATCATGAACAATTATGAACTACTCTTTAATTTGAGTTTCTTAACAATGATATCGTCTCGATTTTATACACAGTTTTTCCTACGTTTTAGAAGTGATTGATAGTTTTCTTACTATTTCATTTCATCACAATACTGGCTAATGGCTTTCATTAGATATTATAGGACGTGTTTGTGTATTACTACATGTTGTAACATGTGACACCTTAGTGTGAGATCAAACTTTTCTCGTTTGTGAACCAAGTTTTTCTAATACTCGTCCATGTAACGGCCGAACATTTCTGTTATTCACATATAATCATTATATCTTGTCTCTTATAGGTATCTTTATCATCTCTAGTTTACTCTGTTAATTGTTGGTCATCAATGTTATAATGTACTGATCAATATGTGCTTATTCTAAACCATTATAATTTGTTATTAAAATTATTATATATTAAGTATTGTTTAATGTTTTTTTACATCCTGATGATTAACATTAAATTGGGTTTTTGAATTATTATTTTTTTTGTGATAAATGGAAAGATCATATATAAGTTTAATAACAAAACTATTCTTATTTTATTTTTTTTTGCAATATTTAAAAAGTTATTTCAAAATAAAAATTAAATTTTAAATTCAGTACCGAAGACAAGCCGACAGCTCGTGAATAAACCCGAGCGCGTGTGACGTCACAATGTTAGTTTTTGCTCATTGTAGCATACAGAGATATAATAATTAGTACAGTGTTTTGAGTTTTTATCTAGTAAATTCTGTTGGCATTGTTAAATAATCAAAAGTTTTGTACCATTATGTACAAAGACTACAAAAACAACTCCTGAAAAAATGTTTTTAAATGTTCCACAAGACGAAAAACGTCGAAAGAAATGGTTTCAAGCAGTGCATCGAGATTATTCAAAAACAAAATCATTTTTTTTTGTTGTGAAGATCATTTCGTTGTAAGTTTTCATAATAGTATTGTTATTAATTATTATTTATCTAAGTGTATAAATCGAATAAGTATAGTTCAATAATTAATTTTTTTACCTGGGCTCCAAATCATAACCTTTAGAATCGTAGCATTAAAAAATTTTAATTGATAATTCAAAGCGATTAAATAGTAAATCTATATATATGTTTGTCTAATAATTGGACTTCAATTAATAGATATTTTCATAATTTTATAACATTCTAGGTTCTGTATCAGACTACATTTAAATTTTTAAAGTACATATATGTTATTTTGGTTTTTTTATAATGTTATAATAACATTTTATTAATAATGATTTAATGAAATAATTATTAATTATATTTAATAGAGAATAAATACTAATTTTCATTTAGAATAGTATTTTTTGACAGACTTACCTTGATGTCTTAGCACCTCGAACTTCAGCAAAATTAAACCGCACTTTTTAAAAAATTAGTTATCATAAAAATATATTAACATCAGGAATATTATCCGATTTTGCTTTTATAAATCCTTTATCACACATAGTCGAAATAAACTTTTCAAATCGTTTTTCACTAATAAATTTGAGATATTTTTATCAAGTTAAAGATAATAGCCATAAACACTGTACTATTATGAAATTGCTTTAACATTATGACGTCACAAGTATGCTGACCAATCATGGCGCGTTTACAGTCACGTGATATATTTTTGAATTTTATCAATTTTTAATTGTTTATAATTAATTTAAAAAATATATTTCAAGGTTTTTGCATTAAAAATCCAATATAATTAATAATAAAGTTTTAAAATACATAAAAAAAATCAATACTTTTTTTTTTTTCAAAAACCCAATTCTGTAACATCAGCAGTTACTTCATATCTTCTGTTATAGTAACACATCGTTTAAGATCATTTGTGTCCAGTTATAATTCTAGTATAGATGTTGTCGCTCGTTGTATTTTGATTGTTGATCGACCTCTATTACAAAAGGATCGCGGGTGACGTCACGGGACTCCTCTACAATTCAAAAACGTTGTGAAAGACATACACGATAATAGAACAGGAAAATTAGAAACAAAATTATAGTCTAATAATATTGTAGATGAGAAGATTATACTTGAATAAATTATATACGAGAGATAGGCGCCGAGTATCAGATAATGTGATGTTATTATAAAGGTTGAGTGGACAGTTTTATCAAAATTATATTATCATGTATAATATAATATTAATTTTATAATTTCAGTGTAGTCGATGGCAGGCTGGCTGTAATTCTGTCATAAGCTTCGTCTTATCTGTTACAATAACAGTAACAATTTTGTACACCAGAACGTTGAGAAATGTTTTATCATATATAAATCTCAGTAAAATTTATTTTGTACGAATGAATTTTCATTGAAACCTATCGCTCTGAAAGTGTTCAATCGGACTGTATGGAAACTTGTCTCTTTGTAGATCTCGCTAAACAACGTTTAAAAATCCTCGTGTCAAATGTTACTCTCATCGACTTTGTGTTACAAACATATTTAATGATTTTATATGTTTATTAATTCCGTGTGACGGCTTCTGAATAAATAACTAATGATTGCCAAGTGTTATCATTCATCATACTAAACTTATCCGTTTCCTGACTATGATTGAGTAATGAAACACATTGTTGCGTGAAGCTGCGTCGTATCTGTGATAGACCGGTGTCTGTCTGTACGTCGTCTGTTGTGTTGATCATGAACGGTCCATGTCGATCCCAACCATCAATATCCGTCGATATGTTTATTAGATAGTTAACTTCTATTAAACCGTCGCCGCGTGCTCCGGGACTCTGTGATGGACGCATGTCGCCCGCGAGCTCTTAACTATCTAAATCCTATTCACAATCAAAGTTTGTTGACTCTTTATAACGACTAGCCCTTGCTCGCAACTACGTTCGCCTGGATATTATATATGATCATGTGTTTCACATATAAATAAAAGCAGAACATATTAAAATTGTGTAAGTATATTATAAACATGTACAAAATTTGATTGATTATTAAATTTAAATTCAAAATCTTTCGAGATGTTAGTTTGTGAGTTGTGTGCTCGTCGATACGGTAATGATAAAGTAATTGAAACATTTTAATGTGACCACAACTATATAAAATAGAATGACGAATCTACACGTGCTTAGAAAAGTAATTATTCAATGTGAACTATCAATAAATCTTCAGCGAAAAGAAACGGTTTAAATAAGTTATTTGTGAATTATATGTCAAATGTAGATATTTCTTTTATAACATAGTTTTAAAATAACCCTCATTCATTTAATAATCTTTAATAGGCTAAACAAATATTTTGTATTTCCAACAACACTTGGTCAGCGAGACTGGATGCTTAGCGTTAAGGTTAATTAACACTTCATTCTTAAAATAGTTCAAATGGTGGAAACATTCTATTGTAGTTGATAAACTTTCAAATAACGGAAGTGTTAAATGAAACGGGACGGCGCACGCGTTCCTACACTGTGACCCGGACTAACTCACTCACAGTGTGTGGCTCATAGGACATGGAAACAAATATATAATACTAAGAAAATGATCCACTATATATACAACACAATAAGAGAAGCAGAAGGGTTGAGGAGACGACGCGGGAAATACTTATAGGCTAAATACATCCGTTAGTAACATGACACTGTGATTACTCTTACTAGGGTGAGGTAGAACAGGGTGAACTAGTTGTATATGTACGAAAAGTAAATAAGACTCCAACTTTAGTTTGTGTTTGAAGTCTTTATCATGTTCAAGATAAATATTATGTAAGTGGCACAGAAGTCTCGCAATACGTTCAATGGACTGACTGAACCGGTGTCGTGAGACTTGTAAGTTGTACGAGATATTCAGCGAACGTAAACAGATCGTAAAAGTTTGTTTGTGATAAATAACTTAAAGATTTTATGACTTGTATTTATTTATACCTTATAAGTGATATTGAAAACGTGTGTTTAATTAATACATAACATTATCTGTCACTGAGATCGGTCGGTATAAATCATAAGATATATCGGTTGCTCGTGAGTCTCATTGGTTGAGTCTGGTTATCAATTTGCAGCGTTATGCAGCACCCGGAGCAACCGGTCCCTGTCATGAATGAGCCGCCGGGGAGATGCAATCAATCGTGAAGATCATGAAGCCTTTCATTAACCACAACACAGATTCTTACATAAAACTATTTTCATTTTTAAAGTCTTTCTACTCTTTTTTGTTAATTCGATATGCCTGTGAGTTACTGGATCGTGGTTACCGTCACACCTTAACAGTAATCCACAATAATGATCCAAAATTAATATAGTTTGACTTTCTAAATAAACATGTTTCTTTATTTCAACCGTAGTAGTGCTTTTTTCTGAAGCTCTTATTTTTATTTCTTAATCTCTGACCCGCCTTAATACTATAATTTGACAAGATTTATGAATGTAAATCTGCTGACGCTACTTGTGTAGTTAGCGATCCGAACTTCTAGGAAGGAAGTGAATTTTTTGCATTCTAATAATAAAAGTATATTTTTATTTAGAATCAAACTGTAAATAGATAGGTTTTATGATTTTGTTTTGATGCGTTCAATACATTCGCTTGGAAAGCTTTTATAAATAGTAACACTAAACATATTTTTCATATATAACAGAACGTCGTTTTGTTTCTATGTAGGTATGTTCTATAAGTTCAAATGTTTCATTTCCTATCTTTATAAGGACTACATTAGTTTCGTGTATATATGTATAATGTATATACATATACCTATCAACCTGTAGCGGTCGTCGCAGAGTGTGTGGTCGGCCGCGGAAGTCCATAGAACAATGTGTAATTCATCTGTCCACTGATAATAATCTTAGACATTATCTGACCCATACTTGGTGATGATCCCTAATCATGTACATACTTGGTATAATAATGTGTTATCCTAAATTCTGCAAAATTTTATTTGGCACTCACGTACATTATAGTTTAGGAAGTAGTTGTGTATGGATGTGAGAGTTATGATAACCTTTATTTCACTATTGTACCGAATTATATTTATTATTATTTAAATGTTATATACCTACATGACACGTTTTTAATATGTTATAAATGTTTGCAAAAACAGAAGGTTTAGTTACATGAAGAAAAACGAGACGTCGTAAAATAATTTTGATAATATTTTTGTAGTATTTAAATGTACGAGTATATTGATTGGTATTAAATACTAACTGTTTTACTATTGACTATTCTAGAATTTTATATTCAACTTTAAAATAATGTCGTAGAACTAACAAAACAGTGATTAGTATGAATAAATGTTTATAATGTTAAAAGCTTCGTTTGGCGATGCGCTTTCTTTTATAGATCTCTTACTTATATTGGTTTAACTGTAGCGGTACCTACCTTCTGGTAGAGGAACGGCCTGGTGAGTGCGAGGTACCTCTCCAAGGCCATAGTGACCGCTATACACACGCTGCCCACTCCGAACACCCTCAGCACCACCCTCGCCCCACAGTACCAGCGAGTAGTGTTGGCCCCAGGCCACCACTCAGACACCAGCATGGCACCCATCATACCCATCTGATGTACAGGAGCGAACAGAACACATTACGATGTAACGATATAGTAGCTAGTTAAATTGTAATTGAACATTAAGACTCAACTAATTGTTTCCTGTGGTTATATGTAATTGTAATATGCGGTAAAACTGTTTTCGTCTGAGTACATTTATTTTATAATGTGTAGTAAGTCCCTTATTGTCGTGATGTGTTGGTGATAAATGATTTAATCATATATTCGAGTATTAAATGCTGTGTTTTGCCGATGTTATTTTATGACTAGATAAGACTTGTTTTATTCAGTTTTTATAAGATTGGCTCCTTGTATTTCTCGGAGCTCTTTTATCGACATATTCTTTCAAATTACGACAACTTGATCATATTCCTACATTATGCGAAAGTTAATGTTACCTATAGTATGTTAAGTGTATATAGTACAAGCTCGTGTGATCCTCACCAGAGCGACCAGGTCGTTGGCAGCCAGTGAGGTGAGCAGCAGCAAGTGTTTTCTGTTCCTGACTCTCCTCTCTCCTCGTCTCAGAGCCACGATGGCCGCCGCGTTACCGAAGATGCCTATCGCGTACACCACCTTCACCACGATACTGAACACTCTGCCCGGCCTGATGATCTTCTCACACACAGAGGACTCGTTGTATACACCGGTGACGTTCATTAAGGACCCGGCGACGTAGTATGACTCCGTCGTTGGATCAGACATGAACCCATCTGTACTGCTCTCATAGTAGTCGTACGTGTACATGATGCCTGATGGTAGTCACTCACTAGTATAGTTCACACTACAACTCACTGCATCGTACAGCAATTAACTTTTATATTAAGGTTTTACATTCATTGATATCTGAAACAATATGAAACATACTCTACATTCCCAAAGTTATATGTGATAATTAAAGAAGTGAAGTTTCACAACACATCTAATGTTCGTTGTGATAGTTCTTGATAACTGTGGTGTCAATACATATTTCTCTTGTCTAATATTATTTAATGAAATTAAATGTTTTTTCGATAGCTATTATCTAGTTCCGCGGCCGGCGCCCGGCGGGTGACGCGTGGCGCCGGAGACAAACCCGGACATACGTTTATTTAGTGTTAAATTTAATTATATTAATCAATATTGATCTATTAATATATAAATACTATGGGGTAAAAATAATCACTGTCATTGATTAGCTAACAAAGAAAATGAACTTAGGTAAAATTAAGGCTTAATTAGAAATAATGAGGTGACATTATGAATATGATCTCAATTTGATCCTTTTCTTTTACAAAACTAATAAATCGTCGTAAAAATAAATCAAGTCATGTTTAATATAAAGTATGTAAGATCGTTGTATGTATATAATATCTGTGAGATAGTTTCTCGTTATAAAAGTATGTGAGTTTTGTATCCTCGATCTCGGATGTCGATATAAATTGCATGTGTTCTTATTATATCTCAATTTATGTTTTCAGACTCGCGGCACGAGTGCTGTCTATTAACGTTAAATGTATGAATTTAAAATATTTTTATCGTTTAATATAGAAGTCATCGTCTATACCTCATGGCCCTGTACCCACACTTTCTCCTAAAGTGGATTTCCATTATTTGAGTATTTAAATTTCTTATTTGAATGTAAAATAATTGTCAAATACATGTAAGTTCTCTTAAGGTTTTAGATCTGAGTGACATCAAAATAAATTTTCATTTAAAAATAGACGAAATCTGTTTCAATTTACAAGTCTATGAATGGCCGCTTTAAGACAACTTTACATTTCAAAATATGATTCATTCATTTCAGTTGAATATATTTAAAACTTAGAATATATGTCATATGACAGCTGGGCCCTGAGTCCCGAGGGACCCTGCCTGACCTCCGAGCCCTCAGACGGACCCGTGGGACAACATTAGTGGTATTTCAGTAAAGGCAAAGAAGTTTATTTTGACATTCGGTTTGTTACTATTAAGTTAACAAAATGGTAATCTATTTTTAAAAAAGATAAAAACTGTAGATAACTCATAGTAAATTATAATTTTTTTAAACTTTTATGAAAAAATACCATAAAAACTTGATTGTAAAAATGAAAAAGAATAAATTTTTCACAAAGGTCGTAAATCTCTGTGTTCACAGTCTACGAACATGTCATTATCCTGAACCGCTATATTCGTTGTGAAAACTCTGTCCGTCCGTGTAACAGTTGTAAACGTATTTATATTTTTCCTTATTTCGGGTTTTAATTATTTATTAATAACGGAATAAATGTAAAAAATATATAGTGTATCATTATAATTACCAATATATATTTGGTGTAATATCAATTCGTACACTAATTTAAACACAACACTTTTTTTTAACTATATAAATTGTTCAAGAACTTTTCAGTCCATGCCTGTGTGTAGGTGGGCACGAGCGCGCGAAACGAACTCCAAAGAAGCTGTGTTCAGCGAGTGACTCCTGGCCCAATACTGGTGACTACTCACTCACTACTGACTACTAGCGAGGTACACACTCACTGTAACTACCCAGTGTGTACATATCAATAACAATACACACGGGTTTATTGGTTGAACACATCGTTATAAGCCAAGTGATGATTAACTAACGACCCTCCACCCCACACATACTAAACAATATAATATACATAAAGCTTCAGGACACACACATAACAGCTTTTAACATTTTCAAATTATTGAAACATTTAATGACATCTCTCTGAAAATTATATATGATACGTATTTTATAGTACATTAATTTCAATCGTCTTAAAAGTAATGGCTATATAGATTATAGAAAGTTACTAAGTCTTCTTTCTGTAAATTTTGGTAATATATATACAGATTTGGCCGTGAATCATAGTTAGAAGTAGCTTACTAATTGTGTGTAATTTAAATGTAGTTCAGTTTTGACTCTAGACGTAAAGCCTGAAATATGAACACAAATTACAAATGAATGCTATAACATACTTAATATATGGATAGATTTATTTGTTATAAATATTCCTGCCTATAGTTAAAAATTGGAACTATACTAATATAAATGTGTATCTATACTAAATGGTTGTTTTGACAGATTTCGGAGTTAAAGTAAGTTTCTGACAATAGTGTCCATATTATTATTTTTCATAGAACTTATATAAAAGTAAATGATCGTGGCAAATGTATATTAAGTTTTAAATGTCATCAAAAATGCTGAAAATCCTTATCAGAATAAAAATGACGCAGTATAGCAATTCTTTCTGATCTGTTATAAAGTACATACTTATTTGATATTTTAATAAAGATTATAAAAAACAGTAAATCATTAGGAATGCTCAAATCTTTTCTAAATTTTCTTAACACTTATCACGGTGAGTCCTATAAAGGGTTGTCTCATATAATGCACTCTAAAACGTGTATCGTCTCCGTGTGAGGGAGTTCTGTTATCAATGTAATTAGGGTGTTAAGATAACGCTCGCTTCCTATTTATAACAATGTAAATAAACATATCGTGTGTGTTATCTCCGATGTATATCCACATTGTTTAAAGGTCATTATTCATTAATTTGAACCAAACTTGCCGAAGTCCTGAACCGCAGGAAATGCACTAAAACAGTTGGTGATTTTATAAAATATGTCGATGAATGCTTCCTTGTCCACACACTATAGAATAACATCTTTATTACTGACGTATGTTAGTCTTTTTTTAAAGTATTCTTATGTGTTGTGTTTTGGAGTAGGTATAGTCTATAAGCTGTATAATGATATAATTATATTTCGTTAGGTAATCTTGTCTTTACGCACGAGGCTGTTAATCTACTTTGGGTTTTATAAAAGCTCCTGGAGCTGTGGGCTCTGAACGAAATATCGTCCGTCAACATTTACTTCAACTAAAACTTAAACAACTAATGTTATATAGAACCTACTTGTCAAGTGTTAATAAATTAATGCAGAAATGTTAGAAAAGTGTTTTATAAATTAAAAAGTAATGTATATGTTAGTAATGCAGTTATTAGATTTCTGACAAATTAGAAAGCAAGTACTTGAACGAGATCAGCGACAACTTTCAAGAAAATAATATTATTAATATTATTTTGTGATGAATTACATTTTAAAAATATTCTGTCGTGTCAATCATTTTTGCTAGAAATTAGGGAGCATTTTGTCCAGCGAAGAGGAATCACTAATGTTGATAAGTGATAATGATTCTTTTTATAAATATTTTATAATGACAACAGTTTTAACAAAAAAGAATTATAAAAATGGTTTCGTAAAGGAGTGTCTCAGCAGAGTAAGTACACACACAACGAAAAATATACGGTCAAGTGGATTTAGTAACCTTCTGACTTTTTACCTTTCTCTATAAACTACAACAGCTTGAGTTTTCATGTAAAAGATATACTTTATGTTTTCGCCAGCTCGAGGGAGGTTCTTAAGCCTCTATGTGACACTTAAACTATAATTTCCACACAATGATTACATTATGTATTAGTTGTTGACACGGTTGGCAGTCGTTACTCGCCGGTGATGTGTCAGCTCATGGCTGGACCGGCGCCGCGACGGTCACAATGGACGCTTCACTCCTTTTCAGGATTTATAGAACTTCCTTTATATGATTGTGACGAATTTGGTCGCTCATAGTGATACTACATCACACAGCGACCGCGGAACAAAGACGATATCGAACATTAACCACTGATATTTGGTAGATGAATGAACACATAACGATCATAACGACTACCTTATAACAAAAAATGTAAGCTGTACACTCTTACAAGTGATTATAACTATTAGGGAAGTTGTTTCATTTAATAAACAACACAGTACATATATGTATAAAAAGTAATATGAAATGTGTTGTTAAAAGATAGCACTATAATTTTATTTAATATAGTATTCTTACCAAACCACATAAATTTGTTATTGTGATACTGTGATGTTTCATCAAGTCTAGTTACTAAACATCCACTAACAATTCTTTGAAAAACTAATTTCATTAGATTGCCACAAACAGATACCATTACGTTAATATAACTCAAAGAGAGCCTCAATAACTTTAACAGCAGCACTCACAAAATATCACACGTCGTTACGGCACACATTACTGTAATGATTTAGGTATTATAGTTTTTGTGGCTTTCTTTAATTCAATGATTATTAAATATTATCTATCTTTAATGACATCACATTGTTAAAATAACATTACTTGACAAATTATAAATTGTGAATGGAAAACCGCAAATATTCCCCACGCCATTTACGTCAACATTTAAACGACCGCCACACACGTGCTGAATGATAAAACATTATAATTGAATTATTACATATTTTAGGTAGTTTAATTCTTCAAAATTATTAATACAATTAATTGATAATAATCAGTGATGGTGGTCGCTTACTATCAGTCCTACCGTCTGCACGTTTTTAACTCACATTCGTTAGTTGAACCTCGGATTGTATTTTTGAAGTCAGCTAAAAATAAATCTTTGTAATATAGTATGAGAACATGTCCAGGTGACGAACGCCGTCTGTTGTCATTCGTATACAGCATATAAATTATTGTTTAATATGTTAAAACAGAGTTTACTGGCTGCAGGTTAACTTCTATATAGTATATTTACTCCTCGGAATGTTAGTGCTCATTTAAATTTTATTTCGATCTCCGCACTCATCCGATCAAGGAACAAAAAATACAAAACTTATTTGGCCAACCGTTGGATTTGTATGTACTAAATTAAAGAAAATTCGAGACTCTTTTTCATAGTTGTAGGAAAAAAATGAAAATTAGCTTTGAAAAATATTCAGCGAAAGAAGATAAAATTATATTTTAACCAATTAGAAATAATTCTCAAAATACTCGTATATGTAGCTACATCAGGAGCATAAAGTAGTGTTAGGTATCATCCATCTATCATTCTGAGACACGTGTAATTTTTCCATCCATTTCTATGAAAATGAAAGGCAAATATTATGAATTCTTGTAAAAATGAATATTTATTATTTTTATGGCCACAATAATGAAAAAGTTAATTAGAACGCTTATGATCTGTGAACACGCAAAAATTTCCCAAACACATGTCTAATAGATGACCTACAGATAATAAACTCGGGACACGGCGTAGCTATAGAATAACAAATATGTTTTATGTGAAACAATAGAAACGTTGATATAGGAAACAAACTAAGATCCACTTAGTAGGAAAGTTATACTAAATGAGAAGTTAGAAAAGTAATTAGTTATTGTAGAAGTTGCCATCTATTTTAACGTCATTTAGTGAAATGTTTTAAATGTTTGTAAATGAAGTTGACGATGAATTGATGGAATTTAATCTACTGTTGCTGCATTTGATGTCCCTTTTAATACTTATAACATGAGTTATTCAGGAACTAAATCGTCACTATACCGACAATAAGTCGCTGGTCACACAAGCTTCATGTATTTTGGATTTCATTGAGATCCATATTTCTGATGAAGGTACGTGTACGTATTTGAGGTTCATGTGTCTGGATGTTCTCAATAATTTATTTAAAAATAAAGTAATTGAACAGTGTCCTTAAAATTCCGATTTTTCAATACAACTTGCCCCTTGCTTGCTATATTTTCAAAGTGTAATGTTGCGAATGACTCCGCTTGTGAGACCGCATATAAAAACTTATTTTATAAAAAAGCAGTGCAAGATAAGAAGCCGTAAATGAAGAGTTTTAGAATTAGATGTCAAAAAACGTCTTGTATTTTAAGATATACGGTATTAGTATTTCCGGTTATTATCTCATTATATGAATTATTACAATATTTGGAAACACCCACAGAGCACAATGTTATCAGAATAAAAAGTTCTACCAGTCTCACAGGAATTTCCAGCATTTCACGGTTTTTCGTACTAATCAAGTTTTTTTTTAGTTTAATAATAATTGCAAAACTTTATCGTAAAATAAAATCATTACATATTTTACTTTTTAAGGTAATTAAAGTTAGCTTATAGTTATCTTGTCAATGAACAATAGAATACTATTTTTATGTGCGACCATGATAATCTAATAGTAACCACCAAAACAAGGGGATCCTGACAAAATTTTCGACACAATTTCATCGTTACGTTTATTTGCTACAAAAAAAGAGAAAATTATTAGGTATATCCTTTTTATGCAGACAGAATAATCTGTACGGTAAACTAAAAAGTTTCTTGTTGCAAGATATAAATTAAAAAGTATTTAAATAAAATGTCACGATATTAAAAAATGTCGCATAAATTACAGGCAATGAAAAAGTAACAAAATTATATCCTCAACAAACTTGACAAATTATATCGATCGCGATGAATTGATTGAGTAAATAGTTTTAAATTTAAGTTACATTAATTAAAGATAATAAAAATGAGGACGATGCTGCATGCGGTCGCCATCGTGCTGACGGTGCTGTTGCTTCTCATCAGACCTCGATATACCTTTGCAGCAGTTTGCTATGTTCGTATGAATGTTTCTATTCATTTATACTCATTGACGGAGAAGTGTCATTGTTACGATATATTCCTCTAAACTAACGAGTTATATTGTCTTTTGTTACAGAAGCGTGTAACTACACCATTCCTGCCAAGTGGTAAGATCAAATCCAATAACTCCACCAACCTGGCGTGCCACGCGTACTACGCCGACCCTAAATACAAACGAGACCCGGAGATCGATCTTGATGATGAAGAAATAGGAAATCAACCTCTTGAATAACATTTAAAATGTTTGTTCACATTTTTGGTAATAAAAAAATTGCAAATTGAAATATATATTTTTTATTTCAATTGTTTTGAAAGCCGTACCTAATGTAAGTAAAACAAAAAGTAAAATTCATAACGTGTTGTATATTTATATTAATAAATAAAAATATAGTATCTAAAATTTCAATGTCGGGCTGGAGAATTGTATTGCCGCCGTCTCACCATTGGCACCATGAGATATTTTATGTTTTTCTTGTAATAAGGGCAAGCGGGCTCGTCACAGCCCAGAACTTCCGCCTCGTGAACTCCGTGACCCCCTCCTCCTAGTAATTCATCTCCTAGTATTAGTCTACGAGCGCAGGCTAGCAAACAAGGAGTACAAACTGCCACGGCACATAATGCTGCTAAAATTTCTAGTAAAAACATTACAGATTCATTCCACATTCTTGACTCTCACTTGTTAATTTTATTATATAAAGCATAAATAATAATTATTGAATTAAAATAAGATAACTCCATATGTACAAATGACAAATAAAACTTTCAGTCAAATGGACGACAGGGCTATTGTAAAAATATTGATATACCATGTTATCAAATGGTTTTATTAATGGATCTACCTTCTTACAATAATATTAATATAGAAAATAATAAAAAAATAATAATAGCCGTTAAGTGTATAGTAATCCTTGTTAATTTTTTACTGTAATAAATATTTGGGAGTTTTATATATTCTTAAATGTTATACCTACTTCGTGTCACAATTTCTATCCAGTGGTAGTGATTTTGTCTGATCCGTCAGTTACGACAGATGTCATGTGACAGTCCACACCTGACATTTGATACAATCCACAAAACAAAAATGCGAGTTTGTTAGTTTAGCAGCGGTTAGCTGTTGTAGTATTTAGCTCATTCATCATATTACAGGTTGAAAGTTGTCAAATGTTCAAAACATGTGACGCCGGACGATAGCGCAATGTCGGATAGAAAAAACATAATATTATAACTTAAATAAAGCACTTTGTGAAATTGGAAGTGTAGCTAAAAAACAGTTATTGCTAATTATATACGAAAATATTCACAATGAGATCAAAATTCGTGATTGGGTAAGTAAATATTAAGTAAAAAAATATTAATTACCCAACATCATAAGAAACAGAAACATTTCAGAATAAAAAAATTATGTTACTTTATCATATAACAAAATTCTATACGAAAAACAAAAATTAAATAGTGTTCACAACGTAAGGTGTAAAGTTTTTTTATTTTCTTTAACCTAAATTTTATATTTTAATATGGGTTTTATTCAATTATCTTATACTTACAGACATTACTTTAAAATTATACTCCATTCAATGTTTCTCTTTGAAACTATTCAAATATTACATAATAGCTACATGTAGTTTTTTGCTCATACTTTAATTAAAAATGTCTTTTATGTTATAGGACTGTGCTTGGTTTAGTTGTACTATTTGGCTGGTTGCTAGGACGGATATATGCAGTGCTCCTAGCTGTCTATGAAGAGACGACTATATTTAAAGACTTGGAGTACTCATGGTAAGTAATAATTTTGTGTACAAAACATATCTTTTGTTTCTATTGTTTTTTGATCGATGATAATGGTAAAATTAAATATATTTCTTTAAACATGTAGCATTTTCCAGGGTATTCAGATTACTACTAAACTTAGTAGGCTACTCCACCGTGATACTGCCATGCTTTGCTCTTTACAAATATCTTGAAAAGACACACTACTTTGAAAAAATAAGTAAGTTGATGTTAATTTGTGTTTTAGATAGTCTCATATATATCATAACATTTTAAAGTTCACCGACAAGCTTGCTGGAAATACCCCGCCTTGAAAAATACCCAATGACCCAAGAAACTTATCACTGGGTCATTTTGATAAGGAAAAGAAATAAAATTGCAGTATTATAAGATTTTTATAAATTTTAGAGAATATATGAAAAAATTATAAGATTATTAAATAAATAATAACAAGATATTAAGCAATCATAACATTTATTACAACTATAAAGTATCCTATCCTTACAAACTGAAAATTAAATGTTTGTTAAATTGTGATATGAAATTTTATGATTACAATAACTGTTTATGTCGCTATGTTTATTTAATTAATGCCCTCTGTATTATTTATCTTCAGCTAACAACAACTGGGTGAGTCGTCTGCTGCGAGCTTTGTTTTTTGAACAAGAAAGGCTGCCGGAGGTGGTGCGTGTGGATGAGAGCCTCCCTCATGAAGGAGCTGAGTTGGCGTTGTGTGTGGTGGGGCTCATGGGGGCTTACCTCGTGTGGGGACTACTACAGGAGAAGATAATGACCACGGTAACTAACACTTTATAAATATGTTAGATGTCTAGTTTGGAAGTTAATGTATGTTCAGGTTTTGTTACACCTTCAATATAAGATGTGAACGAACTAACTGCTATCCCCCACCGTCTCCGCTAACATACATAACAAAGCAGCTAAAACATTCGGTTTTATCAAACATTACACAAAAGTTTTTTCCGTGACTACCAAGATCCTGCTGTACAATGCTTTTGTGCGTAGTCAATTGGTATTTTTTTTTTTTTGTTACAATTATGTTGGTATTTTTTACATTTATGTCTTAAGTTTTCAGTGTCTCATAAACCAATATTGGTTTTTCCGTACACTGGAATTCATCGTCGTTAACTCACAATTACATTGACATCTCAATACATTTATATTTTGTACTTAATGTATTAAACAATAAAAGACATCAAACCTATAATATAATGATACGAGTATGACAAAATAGAGTAACAAAATTACTGTTGTTGTTGAATGTGCTTGTATTGTGTGGAATCCCATTTATACTATTCATTGTCAACGTGTTGAGAGTATTCAGCGCAACTTCACTAGGCATCTTGCCTTCCATTCAAATGAGTTCTCGCATAGACAACCATATGTTCAAAGGCTTCTGCATTTCAAAATGCTGTCTCTTCGTGACAGACGATGCGTGCAGGGTCTCTGCTTCTTACATAAAATACTTAATATTAATATTCAATACAGTGGCCTAGTCGAACGCTTCCTTATAAATGTTCCTTATAAATGCCTAAGGAATTCTATTTCGAACACATTTCACATCTCGCGCGTTAAAACTAATCTTGGATCCCAGTGCAATTAGCAAAATTTTATAATGACATTTCCAAAAACTTACCAAGTCTAGACCTATTTAGTGATTAATTTTATGTATTTAAACAAAAAATTATTGACAATTTTTTTCTAAGTCAAGGTTGTCCTAAGTTTATATAGTAATATTTATTATTTTATTTTGTGATTTTTACGTAATTTTTTCATTTTATCTTTAAATTAACATTTAAACTTTATAATTGTGCACTGTTTATAGTTAGTAAATGTTATGTACACTTGTCATTGACGTACATATCTGATGTTTTAATATAGTCACTTTAACTGTAAATATTCAATATGTATGTTGTAAGTGTGCTTGTTGTAAATAAATAAATTCATAACAACATTTCTCATTCAGGACTACGTGTTAGCGGACGGGTCCGTGTCCCGCTTCACAGACTCCCAGTTCCTGGTGTTCGTGAACCGCGTGTTAGGGTCGCTGGTGGCGCTGGTCCGTCTCCGCGCCACTCGCCGCCCTCTGTTCCCGGCTCCTCTCTACAAGTTCTCGTACTGCGCCCTCACCAACATCGTCAGCGCCTGGTGTCAGTACGAGGCCCTCAAGTTCGTCAGCTTCCCCACTCAAGTTCGTATGGGAATTGTTAACAATACGAAAACTTCTTAGTTATCATTACCTATAACACTCAACAATCGAAGAAAACTTATAATAAATCGTTTAGAGAAACAGTAACGCCTATAAAATGAATTTTTATTTGATTCGAGATTTCTAATTTGTACATGTATTGAACATTTTAATCACGCAATCAGACACGCTCGGTCTCAAGTAGTATATTATATCACAAAATCTGGTTACCGAGCTTTGCTCGGTATTTAGGAATAATTAGTATTTATTTTGTGTTTTTTTATTAATTTCGTTTAGGCATTTTTGAGTGAACACGTTAAGAAGACACAAAACAATATAAGGGTGAACATCGACATATACTAATGGACATGCCTCAGAGATGAGAATTGTTTCACTCCGAAAGAAAGAGAGGAAACGAAGTTTCGGTCTATCTTTATCTCTCTCAAAATAGTATCGTACTTAAGACGTTATGAGCCCCTTCTGGATAATTTATATGCCGTGCTTGTCATGAAAACTGAGCGCCAATCATCTATGAGGAAAGAGATATTGCTAGACCGAAAGCATAGGCCATCTCTCTCACTGTTTTCAAACCAAAAAAATACTGCAGATTATACGCGTACGGCATGTCCATTAGTATATACATACTATAGGGCGATGAGGGTGAATATACGCTATTTTGTTTTTTTGTGTCCCAGAAGGAAATGTTATCGGTTTCATTCAAAATTTATAATTTATTTTTTTGACACTATTTTAAAATTAGTAATCACAGGGGCCAGACGATTATTAATTTTTTTCAGTTTTATAAGCACCAGAGGGAAATGTGTTACCAGAGTAGTAACAAATCAAAGCAGGGTATTGTCATATCATTGATTATTATATTAGGTAAGAAAGTTAATAAAATACAAATATATATGCTTACCAAAGCAAATACTCCAACGACTGGCATAAAATTACTTTCAGAAAGTTTATTGAAAACTGATCCAATTTTTTTTTAAATTTTGCTCAAATTATTTAGCTTGCCTCTAATTTGAAACTGTTTTTCGCCCCTTCTTTAAGATCAAAAGCACAAGGTTGTGATTTTTAATATTTTTTAAGTCGTTGAATTCGGCCAGATGAAGTGACAGAATTGTAACATGACTCGAAAATAAGTTATATTATTTTATATTAATAAATATTTTTAGTCTTCATTTTGTTAAAATATGTTTCGATGTTTATTAAAGCGTTAAATAAAAAACATAATTGTGTACTTTTTGAAAGTATTCAGCCATAAGCCATAAGTTCTTTCTTCTTTCATAAGTTCATTTTAATTTATAAATGGGAAGGCCAGAGGAGTATACATTTTTAACTATTTTAAATTATAAAATTTTAAATTATAGTGAATAGTCTTTGTGGGCCAGATAAAATGCCATGTTCTTTATTGTTTAAGTATAGAGAGACCATGATATAATAAGTTTTACGTAAAATTTTTCTATAGACCAATGGAATTCAAATAGCGTATATTCACCCATAAATAAATAATTAATATCTTAGTCTAACCTCAAAACAAACACCCAATGACTTCCTGGTACTTAAAAACGCCATCTGCTGTTAAGTCGTTAAAGCAATTAGCAAAAAGTAGTATTACTATTCGCCAATAGATGTCAGGAAGAGTCATATTTAAAACCACTACTTTTTGATTTTTTTTTAAATAAAATAACATTTTCTAAAAATGATTCCTAGCTACATCGATTTATCGCCCCCGAAATTTTCTACATACTAAATTTCATGAAAATCATTTGAGCGGATTCCGAGATTCAAATAAATATGTGTATATATATACAAGAATTGCTCATTTTAATATATAAGATATGTATTGAGTGTGTCATGTTAACGTAATGTACGCAGGTGCTGTCCAAGTCGTGTAAGGTGATCCCGGTGATGTTGATGGGCAAGCTGATCTCCCGCTCCAAGTACGAGTCCTACGAGTACGTCACGGCCGTCCTCATCTCGCTCGGCATGGTGCTGTTCCTGTTCGGGACCGGCGAGGAGCAAGGTCGGTGACCCCTGCCTGTTGTATGTGTGTGTGTCGGTGAGTGTGTGTGACGTGTGTGCGTGTGTTTCAGCGTGGGGAGCGCCGAGCGTGTCGGGCGCGTGCCTGCTGGTGCTGTACCTGTGCTGCGACAGCTTCACGTCGTCGTGGCAGGGCGCCCTGTTCCGGCGCCACGGGCTCCAGCCGCTCCAGATGCTGCTGTGTGTGAGCGTGTGTTCGTGCTCGCTGACGGCGGCCGCCCTCCTCCGCCGCCCGCTGCCCGCGCTCCTCTCCCAGCCGTCGTTCGTGGCGGACGCGTGCCTGCTGGCGCTCAGCTCGGCCGTGGGTCAGCTGATCATCTACCGCACGATCGCCCGGTTCGGTCCGGTGGTGTTCGCTATCTGTATGACGGTCCGTCAGGCGGGCTCGGTGTTGTTGTCGTGTCTAGTGTTCGGTCACCGCGTGTCTCCTGGGGGCGCGGCGGGGGTGCTGCTCGTGTTCTCGGCGGTGTTCCTCCGTCTGTACTGTCGCCGGCGCCGCGCCCCGCCCCCCGCCATAGACAAGTAGATTATATTATTATATACATATAGACGAGTACTCCTCGGTGAGGACGTCACATGTTATTTATTTAAGAATATGTTCTCAAAGAACGCCTATTTATGATTCCGGACTCGGTGTATATTTTATTATTTTGATAATATTTTATTTTACATCGATACCAAAACTCGAATATAATGCTCGTAGAGTGAACCTCTCTATCAATGTAATGTGTTGGGTCGTTAGTGGTTACCGTTGACTGTCTACTCAGTGATGTACATAATGATATTCGTAGTTATAAGTAACAGTATAAATATAGAAATATTAATATAACATGTTATTTTATTTATTATAACACGGATCTCTCGTCTCGGTCGCTCCAGTGTGAACCTCACTTCGGTCTCCTCTTTATTCCTTCACAAACTCCTTACCTTAACTTCTAGGTCCAGCGATATCTAAAGACTTTTCAGACAGGTGATATAAAGAAATTCTTATGCTTTTATTATGTCATAGCCGCCTTCTTTACTCATCGTGGACTTCAGAAGACTTCTGAAATATTTCAATCTTTTCGTTAAATTACAAACTGAAATCGACTTGTAAACTCAATTTTCGAGGTTTAAATACTTGAAGTTTTACGTCTGTCACAGAGGACAGCAATTAGCAACATTTTAAATTCTTTCATTACAAGGGGACAAGCGAAGCTATTATAATTTAAAAGTCACATCTTCGGTGGTAAAGACAGATATGGAAACCTAGGCAAGTTGAAATAAAAAAAAGATCTAATTTTAATAAACAATACACAATTATTCAACGACTGGGACTCTCCTGATGAAATATTCTCTGCGTCGTGATGCCCGTAGTGGTACTGCAGAGTTGGTACTTTTTATGTCCTCACTAGAACATTTTGAATTTATAAGTGGTAAATGACAAGAAAGTAATTAAACGAACGTAATATAAATAATTTTCTGTCCTTGAAAAAATAATTAGTGAAAATTAATTGAAACATTGCGTTAAATAATTAGAAATGAAATCGATAAAAGCTCTGAATGAGCTAGTAAGTAGTAGTAATAGTTTTTGAAAACTTACTATTTCGCTCAATTGAATATATGGTATATTTCTACCACGCCTAATGATAACTTTACTCTCTAGGGGTGAATAGTTTGATAACTTTTTGTAACTTTACCAATACTTATCCCCTATTCAAAATCTTTCCTTTTATTCTCAAAGAAGACAGAAACTTTTTCTCTCTCACTAAACTTATCCAGATTTCTTTTCTAAATGTTATTTACACACGTTTAAATGTCAGGAATAGACATTTTTTCTTTGCTCTCTTATTTTACTCTTTTTCATTTATCTCAACCATATTTTAAGTTTTTTTCACTTCTTTTCATCTCCTTTTTTTACAAACGATTTTTATAGCAAAGTTGTTAGCGGTACTTCATTATCAATTCTTCTTTTATTTAATTCTTCATAATACTTAGTTTTTAAATTTCTTTGTAATTGGTTCAACAAATATATTGCTCACGAAAAATGTCTTTTAGTACCTTCTTAACAACTATTCTCTTTTCATATAACTTTTATTGTAAATTACCAATAGTTATAGGCCACTATTTAGATCGGCTCAACTTCTCGAATGTCCCCAATGATGCTGCGTTGACCAGCATCAATCAACATTATGAATGTGGTTTTTATTTTATAGTGTCTAATATTTATTTTATAGTTTTATAGTGTCTAATATTTTCATATAGTGTCTAAACTACACGGAAACTGAATCTTTTTATTTTTGACGCAATTTTGTCTTAAAATGTCTGTCCTTCCTTTTGACTCAAACTTTGAACATTTTATCTTTAATATTTTGTAATTTAATCTCTTAATAAGGTATATAAAGTTTTCGCTTCACGTATTAAGATACTCTAGTAATATATAAAACCTTATTTGTTTTCTATTAATAGTCTCACTAATGTATTCCATATTAAAATAATTGAATAACTTGTCATTAATTTATAACACATTTTTTTATAACAGAGTATTATTAATGTTATCATATATTTGTGTATTTTAGCGAATTTAATCACTATGCTGTGGCTGAACAGCCCAGCGAGCGTGAACAGCTTCTACCAATTTAAAGTTATGCAGAATTCATTAATCGAAAAGTAATAAAATAAGTGAGTAAAGAAAAACTATCGTCCAAATAGTTTCCTATATATTTGTTTATAGAGTTTGTCAGCTGTTGTTGTTGTGTGTTGTTTGTGTGACGTTGTTTGGGTGGTGGGTGGTGGGTGGTGGTTGCAGACAGCGGATGGTAGGATGCTGGTGCAGGTGGTGGTGACGACCCTGGTGGCTCTGGGCGTGGCTCCCTGTATGTTACAGCGCGTGTGTCGCGCGCGGGCCCCCCGGCCTCCCTCCGCCGTCTGCATGCATCGGATGAAGATCAATGACAAGGGAGTGTAAGGATCCATGGACTACTTCTAAACTATACTCACGTATCTTCTCTATTGCTTTCACCTGTCTTTGTAACTTTTCCTTGCAGTGTAAAATGCTTCAATTAGAGTTAAATTGATGATGAAATTATAAATATGGTGTTCCCACTTCAATTTCTTCAAAGATTACCAGTCGGTTTAATTCCTGGTCACTGTGCTTATTGTTGACGTATCACTGGATATCAACAACCGGTCATGACTCCGAAGACGATGTTGTGAGGATTCTTCCGTCCGATGTTTACAAAACAAACGGTTTGTCCATCATTTGAAGTATTTATCCCCTACCAAATTGTACAATTGTCATTGTTTGATTTTATTTTAAAAATATATTTTATTTCAGACCAAAAAAATATAAAACTACTAAAATTCGATGGGCATATTGCATTGTAATGTTATTAAATCGAGAGAGGTAAAATATGTCATGTTTTTTTATATACTTTGTGTGTTGTAATGTGACTAATATATATTTTTCGTTAAGATTTTCACCTTTCAGATACCAGATTCCATATCGCGTGCGAGAAGTCTCTATCCTTTGTTAATAATCGATCACACCGGTAGTAGTGTCTCCGTAAGATGAGTACCGACATATATGGCCGTCCGTGCACGGTGACGCGCTCGTGTTCGTGCGGCCGCTGCTGTTCGTGTGGCTGGTTGTTGTGCTGCTTCAAGTGCCGCTGCAGCTGCCACAAGACGACATGCTGACCCTGCTCGCCGTGCTGCTGCTGCACCAGGTCATCTCAAGATAACTATTGAGATTATATCACAACATGATAACACAATTTTTAACATAGATAAACCAATTGTAACTGTTTAACTTAGTTTTTAATGTACCATTTCCAGGTTACAACAGAATGCAAGAGCTTCATGGTGAGTATGATCGATGTTATTATAGTGTCTTCAATCTTTTACTTTTCTGAGATCGTTCCGTCTGTGCTGTAAGCTGCTGAACTATGTTACAATGTCGTTTCCATCAGCCTCTAGGTAAGGCGGAGCGCGCGATGTTCCTGTCTCACTCTGAGGCGTGTCTGGAGCAGTCCGGGGCCGAGAGGTCGCAGGTGGAGCGCCTGGTCGGTGGAGCCCCGGAGGACTCGCCCGCTCTCCGTCGACACGTGCTGTGTGTGTTGAGACGGTGCAAGCTGCTCCGTAAGGACGGCCGGCTTGACAAACACGCGCTGCGAGACAGAGTCAGCGGCACCAATGATACTAAGGTGATGCTCCCTGATAACACTCACGACAGAAACTAACAATTATTATACATATGTTAGTTGAACTGTTTTCCCTTTAGAAGAGTGTTTTTGATGTTTAACTAAATTTATCCAACGGTTTATACTTCAAAATAATTAATACGATTTTCCCTTTTTTTTCATTATCGTGTAGATATTAGAAGGCTGTACAGATCAATCCGGTGACACTCCTGAGGACCTGGCGTGGCAGCTGTTCCGTTGTGGACTCAACAAGAAGGTTCTGTTTGAACACATGACAGCAGCCGCCCCCAACGAGCCCTGATACAAATATAACACACATCTATATAGCGTTTAATTTATTATCTGAACTAAATATTTTTCGTAGTGTTTGACATTCTTATGGTATGTATTAAATTATTCTTGGAGACATTTTCTATTTTTATTAAATTATTTTGAAGTACACGTGTGTCTTAATCGGTATCAATATACATTATAGCGTAATATTTTACATGTTTTGGGGAAAATGAAGTTAAAGGTAATATAATTGACATTCCAGCAGCGTTTGATCGTGGGCGACCGATAGTAAACAACGTATTTTATATCTCACGTATACTTTATAGTTTTTATAAAATGTCATATAGATGTTGCGTACAACGATTTGTCATACGCAATAATGCTAAGTCTTTGGAACTTTGTAAGGCGTTTATTAAAAATTAAACAATTTTCTACTCATCATTGTTTTAATAAGAGATAAAAATTTGTTCTAAAAAGTTTTTAATAATATACACTAAAAAGTAGAATTACACTTTGTTTATTAATATATAAAACAATATATATTTCTCACTTCCGGCTTATTGTAAATGTTTCTAAATGCTCGTGGAAGTGGCTTGTGTGTACCGGGTCACTTGTACCCAAAGGTAATATGAATTATGATTTAACTAGTATGAATTATAATGTAAACTATATACATACTTATACAATTATTTGATACAACAAATACATTTATTAAAACAACAGCTTGTTCACGATTTCAAATAAGTATTTGTTTTTTTTTTATGATTAGTAAGAATATATTTTTATCGTTTGAATTTTTAATTACTAAATTTAGGTCGGTGAATAAATTTGCTATGCAAGTTTGGTTTAATTTCTTGAAATAAATTTAACGTTTTTTTATCGTAAACTATGACCCCGAATATCTTCAGTTATTATTTAGCAAGTAGCTAAATTGCCATTCCAATGCTCCAAGTAAGTGTAAATTACATTGGAAACAGCTTTATGATCTCATTGCAGGCTGTAGGCGGTGACCCAGTCGCGCGGAGCCTGCAGCGCCGCGGCAGTATGACTGTGGACCTTTGGTTAAACGTGTCGATAACTTTAAAAAGGTTTTACTTTAGGCGGCAAAACGTTGATTGTATTGTACGGAAACGTTTTAAAAGACCAATAAAATTATAAGGATGGAATGTTGTTAATAATGGTGTACTGGCTGTTTGTATGTGATGTAGATATATGATGTGAGTTTAGTGTTTGTGTTTGTTACAACAGCAGTGTCATCTAATGTGTGGAGTCACGGAGCGGGTAACAGACATAGTACCTAACAGTAAGTGTTTAATGGTTACAACGTGACTTTATACTTTATTTTAATAACTTCATATGCTTATAAATATTCCATATCCATTTCAGTACTATCCACTAAACACCTCGTATATATCCAGGTATAACATGTTCATTTGTTATAAAATGAATTGTTTTGTATTATTTTTTACACAAATACGAATAAGGTGTTACGATGTAGGCATTAATATCAGATACCAAAATACAGTAGGAACAAAAATGTCAATTAAGACAATATAAAAACAAGTTCTGAATAGTATGTATGATGCGTACATAGAGTGAGCGGACAAAAAGAAACAACAAAATATTTAAATCATTAATTGAGGCTGTGAATATTACAGTAGAAGGAACCTTGAGTCGAGGAGTGAGGAGTGAGGAGTGTAGTGGATCAGTTTATAATAAAGGTTGTGGTCCAACACCGTATTAACATATTTGTGCATTATAACCAGCTCCTTACTGAATGTATAAACACGAGCCGGTTGATAATACTAGTAGGTGGTTATGTTAATGATTAAAGAACTCGACTCATGACCAGGATACTTGGACGTCAGGAGTGAGCTGGGACAGCAGGACCAATAATATCTGTATGTCGTTATATGCAGAAAGAAGTTCTTGTATCAAAAAGTAAAAACATTACATCGCCATGTGTAAAAGTTCGAGTTTTAAAAATATCTACTAATTAATAAATTAAAACTTTAAGTGGAAAATATTTTTTAATCCTACTACTATCACAAACGCGAAATTCTCTTTTACAACAAAATTACTTTAAAATTATGATGAAACTATGGTATAAGAATAGTAGGTATACAAGGTATGCTATATCTACAATATCCTTAATTTCTGCTGGATCTCTACATAACAATTGTGTTGAGTGTGAAATTCCTTAAGTCTTATCATAGAACATAGATAGATGTGGTGACCCCATCTAGTACCCAAATATTTGATTCTCTGAGTCTGATACCGAATTTCATGCGGACGAAATTGATAAAAAAACTGGTGATATTATGAATGTAATATGTTTGTCATAATTTTCCGCCCTGACAACTAAGGTTATATTTAAATTGTCTTGAGTATAATTGTCTTTATAACGAACAGTATAGAAGTAGAAGACGCTATATAGTCCGTATATACATTATGAAAAGCTCCTGATTTAAATGTTAAACTTATATAAATATATAGTCTGTCACTTATTATAATAACATAAAATGGTAATATGAACCGAGCTCTGTTTGAGGAGATATAATCATCGACTACGCCTTCCTTCAATAAACATGACACATTGATAACCGTTGTATTATATTGAGAAGGAAAATAAATATTACCTCTTAAATAATTTTGCAGTCTAATTCTCTGGCTCTTGAGAATAGTCTCTATATCTGATTTAAATACGTCAAAAAAACGGGATCAATAACTCTTAAGTATTACTTATAGGTGTATGTGTATGTGGGCATATTTTAATTTTGTATCCGAAGTAAAAAACCAAGTATCAGATTTCATCAAGTATCACCTACATACATCGTTAGCATATTGTATACTGTCAACTCCATATGAACACGAAATTCTAAATATGGCTCTGTTATAAGAAAATTGGAATGAAAAAAATCACACTAAAATGTACCTTAGTAAGAATATTTATACATAGTTTGCTGAGTTCGTGATAATGATTGTTGTAATAAAATCGTGAAAATCAATATCGCTACTGAAGTATGCTAGGGGATGTTTTTATTTCAATGACGGTCCTAGAATCTAGATTGCTGTTGCCAGCTATTTCAATGGACTTCGACACGTGTCATGACTCGTGTGCTAGTACATATTATGTATGAATTTCTAATAACATGTTAGGCCAGTGCAGAAGCCTTTAAAATTAATAAAAAGTGACAATAAATTATAGTAGAATAAAACTCATTAGAAAAGGAGGATAATATTATAAAAATTAAAGGAAAAATAATTTACGGGCTATCTGAGGTCGGGAAGGGTATGGGGGTGGGTATTTGAGGGTAAAAAATGGGTTTTCTCGATTTCCGGCAAAACTAAAAGTACTACGGAAAAATGTTATATGGCAAAGTTGTAGGTAATAAAAGACCTAAAACTTTTATACTAACATTTTTTTCACATGACCTCAAAATTTATGTGAAAAATTCGAGAAACCAAGTTTTTGGTTTTATATTTTTATCTCATACAAAAAAAACAATATTTTGTCACGAAATTTGGTGAAAACTTTCCTTTTAATGTAACAAATGCACTGTAATTTACTTGATTAGAAATATTTATTTTTTCAGCTTATTTTGAATAAATACCTAAAAATCAGCCTCATTTTCAATCGAAAAATCACTCGTGAAAATATCAGGTATTTTTAAAAATTTTATATGTTTTAAATTTGTTGAAATCTCTATTTTCCGATGGTGAAGAAAAAAATATAAGTTTCTTAATTACAATACCATTTTTGGATAAAATAATCATGTCTCTTTTAATGAAATGACACTCGACATCGTTTTTAAAATGCTCTTTCTAATTTGTTTTTAATAGTTGTGTACTATGTTAGTTCTCCAGATAGTCCCTCTTTTAGGTAATTTACAGAAAATTGACATTAAGCTGCTAAAATTAGTTTTGCAGGAAATCGAGAAAACCCATTTTTACCCTTAAATACCCACCCCCATACCCTTCCCGACCTCAGATCGCCGTAAATTATTATTTTTCATTTAATTTGTATAATATTCCCCTCCTTTACTAATGAGTTTCATTCTACTATAATTAGTAATTTAATTATGTTTTAAAGGCTATCGGCACTGGTCTATGTAGGCTATAACTTATCTAAAACCGAGTTAAATGAGTAGGAACACAACATACCTACTTAGTTATTTATTGTATAGTTGCGAGACACAGATAATAGATATCGCTTCTAGCTAGTGACTATATCACACACATTGTTAATTTATCACTGATTTTAATAACGAATTTTACGCCGACGAAGTCGTAGAAAAATAGTAGAAATAAAACTTCATTGACTCTAGAAAATAATGATCAAGTAAGTATTAAATAAGTGAAAATTAAACTTTTACGAATTATGTTACCGACTGTAACATATTTAATTTGAATTTCAGAGATTTTGTTTTTGTTTTCCCTCCACTAGTTTTTACAAAGTTTAAAGCATGTCAGCTAAATTTTATTATTAAGATGATTTTGCAAACAATCATAAAGTTTAGATGCATATTTTTCAAAAATAACTGTACTGTGTTTACCTATATTTCTAAAAACCTTCACATATAAATAACTTAAACAATCTATGTATAAATTTGACATGGAAGATTATTAATTTAAAGAAGTGCGGAACGCTCCTTTTTCCCGAAATTAAATATTTTTTTGTATTATACTTTTCATTTTGAAGATAACAAATTGATATGTATTAAAGTGGCGACACGCGCCAGTTATATATAATGTAATGTAGCTGACAAAGTGTTGATTGATGGATGGAGTGTAGTGGGCAGCACGGGGGCTTTGGATTTGGTCTAACGTGATATGAAACGACGACCGACCTCTCTGGCCACTGAGGAGAGATAACACACGTTATACATACACTTCACTCTAGTGAGACGATTTTAATTTTAATATATAAGACAGAAAAATCTTCTATATATATAAAAATGGATTGCTGTTCCTTAGTCTCGCTAAAACTCGAGAACGGCTGAATGGATTTATCTTATCTTGAAATGTTCGTGGAGATTTAGGGAAGGTATAAAAGTTGAGAAAACTTGATTCATTTCCGGGAAAACCCTAAAAACAGCCCTTTTCTATTTCCCATACAAATGTTTTCTTTGACATTAGATTTGACAACTAACTAATATGTCAATCATTCTGTTCGATTGAAACAGGAAAAACCTGATTATTTATGGCCTCTAGGACGGAATAGAGTTCGCCCGGTCAGCTATACATATATTACTAACTAGCTTTTGCCGCGACTTCGTCCGCGTGAAATAGTGACTTCCGGCAGATTTTTGGTTCTTCCCACATAGTTCCCGTTCTTGCGGGGTTTTCGGAATGGTCGAGTTCCCGTAGAATTTTCAGGGTAAAACCTATGTTTTTTTAATTCACAATGAAGTACTCTTAACCAACAACATATTTATTTGTTTATTTGAATAAAGATTAATATTATTATGTTGATACAACTTAAACAAATTATTTCGACCAAATTAGGTACCATAAAAACGGTTTTTGTGAGTTCATCTTAAAAGATAGACATATACTGTCCCGGACTGTTTTTTAGATCATTAAAAGAGCTATTATTCTTTAACACATATTTTTTGTGTATCTTGAACCGTTTTCACGGCGCATGCAACGGAAGGCTTCAAATATGAAATAATTTCTCCCGTTTTTTCCACATTTACCACTATATCTTTGCTCCTATTGGTCGTAGCGTGATGTTATCTATATAACTGTGGGCTATCCCACAGCCTTCCTCGATAACTGGACTATCCAACACAAAAAGAATTATTCAATTCGAACCAGTAGTTTCGGAGATTAGCGCTTTAAAACAAACAAACAAACTCTTCAGCTTTATAATATTAGTATAGATGATGAAATTAACGCGGACGAAGTCGCGGGCAAAACTAGTAGAACTATAAAAACAATATAGTAATTAAGATGTGTAAATATCTGCGGAGTTCAACATCTTCTGTCTCGCGTATCTCCGTCGCCATAAACTATGTTCTTCATGATTATACTACATTAATAGCACTATAATATATAATTAATAAAAAATCTTCCTTTAGTTTGTATTAATGTTAATACTTAATAGTGAGTTACAATTCTCACTGGTGTACCTGAGTCAGTGAGTGTAGGAGTCGTTCAACGCTCGGACATTATTCATTATATGAAACTCGCTCTGTTTATTGTTTGTAATGATACTGTTTCTTCATCTAACATATCATTTACTGACACTTTAGATCAGACACACCAATTAATAGAACAAAAAATCATTCAGTAAGTTTAGTTGACTCACTGTAAGTATAGTAAAGTATATTGAACTAATAAAATGTTCCTCGAAGACTTCTCTCTTTACCTCACGCCACAAGCCGATGAGTCTGAAGCTACAAATGATAGTAGTTGTTGCGCAGGTCAGTGTAAACTTTTGATTTTGTGCCAAAAATACTAATGAGTAAGCGATAATCCAAGATGGCGCTGTCAAAATAGTTGGCTGTACACCATAAGCGGCTGGTGTCGGCGCTATGTATGGAGTATTCTTATTGAGTTTGGTCTCATTGGCTTGTTATAAGGAAATAATGCCGCACGTTACCGTTCGCGGCCGACACTAAAATCGGTTTATATTTATGGCCGCTCTCCTGTCTCCGATATGGTGTTATTATTAATACAAACAAAGTTATGGCTTCCACTGTCGTCCTCCGCATATTCTCTTAATTGTTTATTTTCAATAGACGATTAAGAGACACAATAATTGTTTTCCTTTTAAATTTTAGCCTGAAATTAGATATGGTTCTTAGAGCTGCCCCTCTTTATTTCGTTTTATATTTCTCCTTCTTTTCTTATTATTAATTTATTAGTATCTATCTTCTCTTGATACAGCCCCACAAGTCTTATTCTGTTTTTAGCATCTCTGTGCTACATGTTGGAGCGGAGCCAGTTCGCGGCGCTTCAGTCAGTGGCCATAAAGTGTTTCGTTATGTTTTTCCCTAGTTTTAAACGTGTTGTGTACTGCCAAATTTTACAAGTACAAATGCTGCGTCACCATTTACTATATATTATAGTTTTTGGGTTACTTCAAATTGAGCGTCTTTGAATATGATTTAATAAAGGTTTATATAGCTTTCTCTAGAATTAAGAAAATATAATAAATAAAACATCATAATCTTTTAAGAGCCAAGTCTTCAGGTTACTCCGTCGCGAAGACAATTAGCTCTTATTATTTAAAAATGTAAAAATGGTAGAAAGAAAACCAGAAAAAGTTTTTATGTATCAAAAGATCTAGATTCTAGATGATGTAATGATAACAGTGAGTACTCTAGCGTGTACCGTGATGACTCGTGGGCTGACAGCATCCATAAGACGATCCCACGCGGCGAAGACATCACCCATCACGCTTTATTATAATAATATATAATAAGGCGTCGTTGGTTATGGCGCATTATGACCATAAACTTAGCCCTTACTTATTTGCCTTTTGAGGACTTGCCAAATACTGGCCGAGGCGATTCGGTAATGTTCCCTCTTACATAAACAACTAACAGTACCCGCCTCGGGTCAGCTGTGATGGAAAATATACCAAAACAATCGTAATATTTAGATTATAAAGTGTTTATATGAAGTTAACAGCTAAAACTCCTATCACATTAATTCTTGAAATTAAATAAGGGCATACTTTGACTTGAACGAAACGATAGTTAGCTTCAAAGACTGATATATTTGAAGGAGACCGATAGTAGATATTGAATACATTCTATATTACAATAACAATATATTCTTTATAAGAATTATTATTATATTTTTATAAACATGTCTCTGCGCTGCTCCCAGTATGTTCTAATGTCTTTAATGTTCTAATAATAATATATATGTAATCCAATGTGACAGTTGGTTCGTCGTCGTGGGAGTCGCCCCCGTGGAGGGCGGTGGCTCTGGTGACTGGTTATCATACATTAAAAGTCATACACTCAGTATAACATACGAAGGATACATGATATATATGAATGAATATCATACAAGAGAGACATACTTATTATACATCTAGTATTAATTGTGCACACATTAAGAGTATGTTATCTTTCTAGTACTTATTATAATAAAATAATTTATTTGAGTTACATAATTAAAGTTATTAAACTCTCCAGTCTAAGTTGAGACTTTAGAGACGGACTGTCGCCAGTGCGATATGTCAGATGCTAGAGGACACTCATTAAATAACTGACAATGATTTACATCAAGAGAGGACACATCTTAAAGATAATAGAGTTGGTAACAATATAGACTGGTTTATATTAAAGTTAAATATTTTCTGTCGTTCATCATACAACTGTTAATATTTTATTAATATATTTTTAATATTTTATTAATATTTTATATATATATGAGACGGCCTGAGTTCCATGTCCGCCCCCGCCTCACAGACAACACTCTGTCTGTCAGTTTTTGTTTGTAATGCTGTGGAGTCATTGTGATGATGATGACAACTACGGAATGAAGTGTCGACGACCCGCACCTGGGATGACGTCTCACAAAACGCTTTATAGATTATATTCAAATATAATTAAAATAAAGCGAATCAATATATGTATTACTTATAATTTAAAGTATTCATTGTTTTTGATCATCCACTAAGGAGCGCAGCTTCCCGACACACCTCACACTTCTTACACGCGTCATGACCAGATCATTATACGTACTGACATATTCTATTAAATTCCACCAACAAAATCTATAAACTTATTCATTTCATTTCTATCTCAAACAATGACAGTGTTGACACCGAGTGAAGGATTGGTCTTTTAGTTTGATATTAATCTGTTGTATTAGTGGTACGAGTATGTATAACGCTACTGATATATAGGAGTGTAACTCAGAGGCGATCATAATTATTCATATCTGAGCCCACGTGAGATTACTAGCAAATATGGTCAAGGATATTAATAATTTAATTATATTGACTTCTATAAAGTTATACCATTCAGACACTCATATTATATTAATATTAAGCCACTGAAGTAGAACTAGAAATTCTAGCAGATGGTGAGTTACGCAGTTTTTTAAATTTTGTCAAAACAAATTCTTGTTGTAGTCGTTCACGCTTTGCATACATCATATCATTACTGTTTAATTGTTTTAAATCTAAAAATTATTTGCGTACGATCCAAAATATTTACATTACATTCAACTCATGACATTAAAAGGGTAATTAGTTCTGTCCGTGTTATTCAGTTTACATCACAATGTCAACAATAATAAATATGTCATAAAATTTAATTCGCTGGTTTTCACACATGTTCACACATAGATAATGTATTGTATTTATATTATTGAGAACTTATTGGCCTCACAAACATTTATGTTGATTTATTTATATACAAATACCTATTTATAATAATATATAAAAAGTAATATATTATAGTATTAGTTTTGTTAAAATTGTAAACTGTATGACAATTTAATCTTCTACTTCATCACCGTTATAAAATAATACCTGGCGGTAGTTACACTTCATACTACACAGTCTCCTGCACACGAACATATCAGTTACTTGTTTAATGAGCTTCGTCTTTTATTGGTTGCCGATGCTCGTTTTACTTATTCCGTGATGTGTAATGATCACTCCGTACATTATATCTGTGTGCTCTGAATATCAATGATTACAAAAGTCTTCGATGTGCTGTTATTTCAAGTAACGACAAGCGGCGTTGTATATTAAATAATTGGGGTGTGGTCCATCGGCAGGTCTGGTTGTTACCAAAAAAGGCTTAACTTTAATTTACAAAACTCAAAAGTATCGAAATTATTTTAATGAATCGTCTCTTTGTGAGTTATATCATGCCTCCATGATCATAACATGAAACATTCTGACAGAAGATATAATTGAGATTAAATTTAAAGTATGTAATCTCTAAATAAAGAACCTTCCTTTAAAAAAAACTATTTAATTAATGAATATAATAAACTCTTAATGAACCATTAATAATGATATATTTTTTAATTGCAACTGTTACGACAGCTGACACTCGTTCCGCTTGTCATTTTACTAAAAGTAACTTTTATTTTTATACCAATCACGACAATGCACGCCGCGCCGGTTCATAATATGTATATATTTGCATCTCATATAGTCCGGTTAAAAAACTACAGGCATGCATATTCATGTTAGTGAACCGAATTTTACTAAATTTGTTATATTATTAAAGTTATTGGCAATGTTAATAAACAAATAACTATCCTTACAAACAAATATTACGTCACATTATATCCAGAAAACTATGAGTAGACACTGTGTACTTGATGCATCGTATGAAAAAATAAAAGCACTCTCTTGTTAGAATCGTTTGTAACTTGAAATATTTCTAATGTTATCGAAAATATTAAAATAATATCTGCGATTGGTCATAAAAGAACTCTAATCGGGACGTCAGTTGAAGTAAAAGTACCTCACATACTCTGATTTATTTTGAAATATTATCTTTCCTTAAAGATTAGATGTCATGAAGATAGATACATATAATATATAACTGTTATGATCTCGTCAGTTCTCGTCGCCGTGACGCAAACTATGTTAATCATTATGTTATCAGTGACCTGTGACCGCTGATATAAGAGGAGGGGCGGCCGACGAACACATTGGACATATGACTTAATACAGATCCATATGAAACACTAACTATATTTTTATACTATGTCGTGTCCATATTTACTGCATGACATTTATAACGATACCAATATTGTATCAGTCTTGTTCTCGTACGAGTGTTCTGATATCTTTATATAACAGGGACTTATATTTTCAATGATCTCAATATATATATCGCGCGTCGCCTTCGTGAAAACGTCTTCCATATAAGGTATGGTATCGGCTCGCTCGGAGCTTCACGTAACGCATACGCAACGGAAGACGATCGAATTAGCGCAGCGCAGCGCACGGGGCTCGCTCGGGAGACGGGAGCCGCTGCGACGAAACTAAATATCCAAAAGCGACCGAGCGCCGCCCGCCTGCCAAATACGGCATGAATCTCATGTTTCCCGCGCGCTGGCCGCCGCTGGCACACCACCGGTCTCCGCGATACGGTCTCTATTCCGATCTAATACTCGTGGAAAACGCGTAAAAACGCATTTATTTCTGTAGCCAGCGGCCTCTAAATTTAGGCCGTTTGAAAACCGAAAGCTATCAGAGATTTTGGTCGGGGCTGAGTTGTCTGTATTTAGATTAGACGGCGCGGACGAAGCGACCGGCTCGCTCAGACCCTGCGGCCCGCGCTGCACTAGGTCCACCACCCGGCACCACCCGGCACCACCCTCCACCGCTCGCCACCACCGACGGATCACGGCCGCCGCGAGTTCAGTGCCTCATACCATTTGGATGTCGCAAATGCTTCCCGACACTGGAGGTGATTATGATTTTCCTTTTACCGAAATTATTGTTTAAGACGTTGAAGGAAACACGGTGCTCTACAGTGATGTGATGTGACTCATGTTTATGGATAACTGTGACTATACGGCGCGACATACGGCATACACATAGAGATGAGCTCAGTGGGACGCTTCATGTGTGGTCGGCGACAGGTGACTGTTAGTTTGTATCATTACACGGGTCAGGGAGCGCCGAAGACCTCTGAAACACCATACCGGGGGGTGTCAAACAACTACCGAATGATCCCTGTTAGGATATTAATCAATAGTTTGTTTACAATGAAAGCCACCTCTTTACAGCTATATACACATTCGACTTGAATTAATGTCATTCTATCGTGTTATATAATTAATCTTAAAAATCTTTGTCCATATTTTGTTACATTCGGTTATCAGTTTGTACAGTGGTCCGTTTATGCGAAAGGCGGCGAATCTAAAAATGTAGGTCTGTTTTTAAATTATAATTTTGTTTAAATTTACCTGTCGAGCGAATAGCTTATAAAACGTTATTAAAGTATTTTCTGTGAAAATTTGTCTGTTACATTAAAATTAAACTTAAAAGTTGAGAGAAATATTGGAAGAGTTGTTTAAAAATCTGACCAGACCTTATTGAGTGAATGGAAGACTTTAAATAACTCTTAATATATTTTGAAATAAATCGTCATACGGGTATCTGTAAGAACAGAACTTTAGTATCTTAAATGGAAAAAAATATTTTAATTATAAAACTATGAGTCTGATTCAAATGTAAGACAGTTCCGTGCTGGTGGTCGCTGATCACTGGTGGAGATATGACTGAGCTTGTTAACGACCAGGTCTTCATAAAACACTTCATCTATGTTGTTATGATCTCATAACACAGACCACAACTCGACCGAGCATGTCATACACACCTATCGCTGTGTGTATATACATATGAAAGTCGTACCTATCGAAGACACATTATCATACACTCGCGTATAGCTTTTGTTACAAATAATGCAAATAAAGTAGTGTTATGTGGAGCGCGGCGGCGCATTCCTTTTAATACCTGCATGCTAATTTGGTCACTGTATCAAATATTATAAACATGGTTATTGTTTGCGTTTCTGATAAGTTCGGAGCGTCCTACGCTTCTTATGATTCACGAGATACATTCCGTGTTCTGTTCGCCGAATATGGTCGCAATTAAGATTCCCTTTACGACATTTATTTGACGCCATTATAATACTCTTTTTACTCGCAACTAAAAACTGACTCTCGTCCACAAGCAACTTTTTAAAATATACGTAGTTGTGATCGAACGGCGATGTCGATAGAGCAATTAAATTAATTAATGAATTAACATTTTACAAATTGTTCTCCAATTAGATCTATTTGTCTTACAAGCACCTTATTTGCACGTGAGAATTTATAAACAAAACATTGTATTGTTTCGTTACGGTGAACCTACTATGTACTCGTATAACGGTTATAGAAATTATAGATAAGATCATAACAACTTTGGTATTTATTTATATTTCAAAATATTAGCCACGTTTTGTCTAATTTGTAACAGTGTCATTCTACATATAATTGTTATTCCAATTAAGTTCTTCCGTAATAGATCATTTCTTTAAGTCAGACTCCGCTAATACGGCAATACTTCCATCAGGGTGCGGTTAGGGTTATGTTCTTTATTTAATGATTTTATATTTAGTTAATTGTTATATAATATGAGTGCATTAATTGTTATAATGACAGCGACATTCAATATGCATTACGAGGTTCGTTTAATGATCCTCGTCTACAGTGGGTACATGTGATGCGCACGCGCACGCGCCGCACACGTCTCCGATAAGACCATCTCTGTCTGTTGGCCGCCAGCCAGCGTGTCGCGTCGTGTGCCTAACATACAGACGGTACACCTCACCACCCTCCACCACCTCCTTGGCAATTATACTGCCTTTACTGTTAATTAGTTATATATCATTTAGATCCAGATCCGATGACTACTGTATATTCATATTTATTTGATAACCGCTTGAAGTATTACCGATGTACTTATTAGTTATGTTCATACAGTTACATAGTTAATGTATCATTAGTATTGAAATATGTGAAAGGAACTAGTGATGCCTTAAACATCACTTCGTTAGTGTTCTTTAAATAGTGAAAATAAAATTCAATAAATGTTCTTACTGTTGTTATCGAAGACGTTGACTCATAAGAATATAGAATAATTACATCACCGTACTGTCCCAGTGTCGGTGTACTCACTGAAGTCGAGGATAATAACTACTTATTATTATTATAAGCTGAATCAAAGTAACGTGTTCCATCGATTCATTTATTGTAATGACCCGTGACTGACGACTTGGGACAAATCGCTCTGACGCGTCTCCAGACATGTTGGATTATATTAGAGGCCTCTGATAACAGGAACTGTTAATGAAGAAAACCTTAATTCATTAAAAATAAATGTTATTATTGTCATGAAAACATTTTATAAGTACTGAGTGTCGTTTTGAAGAGTGACTGTGAAGTGATGTGATGTTATATTTTATTTGGCATAACGTGGGAGACTTCTATTTAAAGACAAAATTATGACAGCTAAAATGAATGTCCTTTTAAAAAGGGAATATATATGAGATGGTATACACGCTCTAGAGAAAACAAATTGACCTAATTTGTTTAATAATAATCTCTTAAAAACATTTTTCTATTTTGTGTTGTGCCCAATTCCGAATGCTTCTCGTTCTATAATATATTAGACGTTGCGTTATTGTAATGACGGTGTATTTCGGGAGCAGTCGCCGGTCGCCTCACCGGTCGGGTTTCCACCTCCCATTAAGGCACATTACTGACTGACTGACCGACCTACAGAATTGGAACGAATCAGATACACTACGACCCATTTTAGAAGTTCCCACACGACGATCCCTTCAGATACAGTGTGGCTGGTTGGAGAGATTAATTATAACATTACACGAGCCTCCCGCTGACGGAACACATTGTTGTATTTAAGATTACTGACAATATATGTTATGAATAATATTTATAAGGAAATCGGATTAGTTTAATTCAAACTATTATGGATATATGACAATAGTTCCTCATCTTACGGTAGTCAATAAAACCTTAATAAAGTTAAAAAATAGACATGACACAATTTCCGTGTCTTCTGTAATAGTAATACGTCAGAGCTGTGATGCACGCTGGGGAGGAGGGGGGGGGGAGAGACACCGCGTGTTTAGATATACTTATAATGACGTTATTGTAAATATTCGATGATCCACAATATTACGGTACAGAACAGTATCCCTTGTTGTATCTTACTGCATTAAGAGATGATTATACATATGTACCTATTAGAATAACGAAGTAATTGAATAGTGTTTGATCGACCCGATATGTTGTTTCAGAAGGCATGCGGCGTGCGGCGTGCGGCGACGCCAGCACCGCGCCTCTCAACACGTATGTATTATAAATGTTGCTACACCGTCTACACCGATTACAGCTCTTTGATACTTAAATATTCTATTTGATCACGTTAATTAATTGAATTGTGATCTATTTGCAGAACATCGGAAAACAAGGAATTACTACGACGACAGCTGTTGTCCTCGAGTAAGGAGCGGAACGTAGACAAGTGTGACTCGGCGAAAACGAAACACACGAGGAGCAGGCAGAAGAACAGATGGAAGCTGAAGTTCCATCATCAGGCACTGCCACAGGAGTACCTCGACCACTACGAACAGAGTCTGCAGAAGGCCAACTGCAAGAAGAAAACTCCAGAGAAACAGAAGGAGCAGAGCGTCGAAAACAGCTTCACCAACGAAACGTTTAAGATCTGGGCCGAGAGACTGGCCGGAGTACAGACCGAGGCCCCCGCGCTGACCGCCGCCTCGCCCGCAACCGGCGGGACCAACAAGAACAGAGAAGAGAGGAAGAAGAAGAACCCTGCCATCACACCCAGCAAGATCATGACTTACGAAGACCTCCCGTACATGGGAGAGATGACCTTGAACAACTCCAAACCGAGGAGAGGCAGGAAACCCAAGAAGGCCGACATCTGCCACCTTATATACGAGAACTACGGGACCGTGGTGCCAGGCCGGCCGCCTCCCGCCAGGCCCAGCACCTGCCCGCCCTTCAAGACGGACCAAGCAGCGGGCCCGCCGCGGACTGACCTCCAGAACAGGATCATATCCAGTCTACTGGAGAGGAAGCTGAGTCAGGAGAACAGGAGGCGCTTCGAGAGTCAACACGACGAGCCGCCCGCACCGACATGTGGCGCGCCGGGGGTGCTGCACAACGACCGCGAGCCGCTCAACCTGTGTATCAGGGACCTGAGGGACCTTAAGCTGCAGGTACAGAACAAGTTCGGGGACATGTACCCCGAGGTGAAGGTGGAGCGAGACGAGGTCGACAGCGGCCGCGGGGAGACGCACAACGCCATCTCCGTCATACAACGGAACGAGAGCGTGCCGTCCTCGCCCGGGACCGACGACAAGCTGCCCGGGTACATGTACTGGCCCGAGGCCGGCGTGTACATGCACCCGCTGGCGCTACAGACACAGCTGCTGTACTGTCAGCAGGCGGAGGCCGCGCGGAAGGAGGCGGGCGCGGGAGGAGTCGCCGTCAAACGGATAGCGGAGCTGCTGGAGCCCGAGAGGCCGCGGGAGAAGAGGCTCGCCGCTGCCGCACCCGCCAAGAGGAAGAGGTCCGCCATCTTCATCCCGCCAGTGACCGCCGGCAGCGGGTCCACGGCGCCCACCGCGGAGGTCAGCATATGCAAGTTCAAGTTCACGGGCGGCTCCAAGCCGTCGCTGCAGGAGAAGAAGATGCTGTCCGTCGACTCCGGGGGGAACTTCCGCTACTACAGCGGGGGAGGGAACAAAGGAAACAAGGGGTACGACTTCTTACAGGGAGACACGGCTCGAGACCGGAGCTCACCCGCGCCGGTCGAGAGGCAGACCGACCCCGCGACCGACGAACACAAGAAGAAGAGGAAGTCCAGGAAGACGCTGCAGAGAGAGAAGCTGGAGCAGACCTTCAAGGAGAAGGGCTTCCTCATACAGACGCAGCAGTTGCAGTCCGCGGAGGGCGCCACCTACTGCAAGTTCAGGCAGCTGAGGAAGTTCACCAGGTACCTGTTCCGGAGCTGGAGGGACTACCTGCCGGGGGAGCTGGCGGGGAGGGACGCCGCGCGGGGGGGAGGGGACGACCCCGACCACACGGGGGGGACGTGACGCGGGGGGGGCGGTGATAGGGGCGTCGTGATGCATTTATAGTGTAAAACTCGAGGACGTAGACTCACGTTCCGTGGGGTTATTTTTCTGACAGACTTCGTGTCCGGAGCTGCGGCCACTTGTAACATATGGTGTATATACTTCGTGTACTTAATATTGTCGGGTGTATTTATTTGTATTAATATAGAACTGTCGTTTCGGATGAACTTATCGAGGTTACACTGGGAAGATATATTTTTAAATTGTTATAATTATATTTTAAACCATCCATTTTCTGGTTGTCTTCCAAACAGAGCAGTATAAGACACCAATTAAAATATTTACTGTTTTCCCAGAATAAGGTTTTTACCCATTATCGATAACTTGTAAGACTTATTTTGTAATCAATTTGTATTATTATTGTGTGAACAGGAACATCAGAACAACCAACATGTCCGTGTCCTCGCGTGTGATTGTTAATGTTAATATAATATGTATATAATATAATGTACAACTGAGTTACTCTAGTCATCTGTTAGTCTGTACTGTTGTTAGTGATGTTTGTGTTGTTAATATTAATACTAAAATAAGACGACGTTTTAAACTCAATAAACTTTATTAAAGAAAAATTAAAAAGTCTGTGATCGAATGAAAAAAAATGCAATACAATAGGAATGTAAAATAAACCAATAAAATATTTAACCAAATTACATTTTGTGCTTAATTGACGGAAGACGGACAGATCCTCTGGAACTGTGAATGACACTTGTATACTATAGTTTGGCCCCTCGTATAAAAATCCAGCTAAACCTTTAGTACTTTTTCTTATAATTACATTATAATTATCCTTACAATTAACCCTTCAAAAATATTTTATAAATTTGTGCAAACGCATGTTATATAAAGGCACTTGGGAATTAAACTTCATCAAGTAATAACATTTAAAAAAAAACAAGCATTACGATATAAATAAGAGGCATGAGACACGATCAAATACAAAAAATATATATATATATCCATGTATATACCATAATATAACATTACAAAAGTGAGTTTCGAAAAGTAGAACATTTTAGTAACATTTTAATTGACCTCTGTTGTAGTACAAGTAGGAACAAAATCGACCTTAAACATTATCAGACCATAATCTGGAATGTGTTAACTGTGATAGAAAACATCATTTACATAATTTTTAAATAACAGCTTCAAATAATCAGTCATCATTAGTAACGAGTAACGTGATGATAACATGTAAGACAAATAACAAGTCACTGGACTCTCGAGAAATAACCAGATGCAGTGAGTCGTGTGTGTATGTATATAGTGTACGTCTATAGGAGCACAGCTTAGCGCTACCTCGATCGTTTTATAACACCCCCCCTCCCCCTCTCCTCCAGCAGTAGTTTCTTCTAAGCCTTCAGTATGTCCCTGACGGCGGCGGCTACATGTCTGGCGGACAGGCCGTAGTGGTCCAACAGCTCCTGAGGTGCGCCGGAGCGGGGAACCTCGCGCACACAAAGGTGACGGACCACCGACCCGCGGACCAGCGACAGGGACGACAGGACCGCCTCGCCCAGACCTCCTGCACAGGACACGAGCTTAGAGACACATACACGAACAGGGGAGAGGAATGAGACATACAGCGATACTCACCGGCCTGGTAGTGATCCTCCACGACCACCACGCGGCCACCAACCGCCGCCGCGTGAGACCGGACCGCCTCCTCGTCCAGGGGCTTGATGGTGAAGGGATCCATCACACGCACCGACACACCTGGAGCAGAACAGAACATGACACGTACACACACACTGACGGACACACTGACAGATGTGAGGTGGGTGAGTGTATACCTTCCGCGCGCAGAGACTCCGCTGCCGACATCGCCTCGTGTAGTGTGACGCCCGCGCCGATCACGAGCACCTGGTCCGCTGGAGACTGCACCACCACGCGCGCCTCGCCCACCTGAAACCACAACACATATTGTGTTATCATAATGTAAAGAGACCGTCAGGCTTATCGCATTATACAGCAAACCTTATCATTTTTATAACTTTAATTGGGTCCGTCCATATACTACGTCATTCTAAATTAGGGAGGGGTTGGTGTTGGTCTGTGAATGACTTTAAATAATGGATAAGGGGGGAAGTGTTTCGAAATTGACGTCATTGTTATTTATTTATAGTTTATTGTTCACGTACAAAAACATTATTTGTAAAAAGAAATTTCTTCCAACAGACCTAGTAAGTAAGACTAGAAATGTGTGAGGCTAAGGCGCGTGCAATACTAAAATAACTCATAATAAACATACATAATGCAACATAGATGTACACAAATACAGTAATAAAATACTGTAACAATAATATTGCATATAATACTAGCTGCCCGCCCCGGCTTCGCCCGTGGTACTTACATGTATCATACAAAAAAACCTTCCTTAAGAATCCCTCTATCTATTAAAAAAACCGCATCAAAATCCGTTGAGTAGTTTTAAAGATTTAAGCATACATAGGGACAGACAGCGAAAGCGACTTTGTTTTATACTATGTATTGATAATTAATAAACACAATACTTAAATAATAACGACAACATTACATAATTAATAAAAGTACATAAATACTATACTTAAATACATGTCTCATACTAAGGAAAGATAGTGTTCTTGTGATATTTTGCAAGTATTTAATGGTATTAATTATTATTATATCAATGATTATTGCCAAAGTAAAAATAATAAAAGGTGATTCTATAACCAAGTGTTTTAATCATATTAAATACCCTATTTTTCTCAAATCTGCAATGTTTTAATTTTGTCAAAGTGGTAATGACGTCAATTTAGGGAGAAGGGGGGGAGGTTCATTAAGAAATGACGATAGGATGATTGTAGGTGGGGGGGGGGGGGAGGTTGGTCCTAAAATCTGAAAAAATCGATGACCTAAATAATTGTGGACGGCCCCATAGTACTTCCACTTTTTGTTTTTTGAATTCAAAGTCGCCTAGTAAATAATATTCAACCTAGTAAATAATACAGGGTGACTGGTGAATTACTATCAATATTTAAGGAGAATACTCGGTACATGATTCTCATTCGAATTATGTAAAAAAATAGGTACTTAATTTTTGACAATATTTCCGTATAAATAAATAAAGTGTTGACACGTTCCAAGTGTTCCAAGTGTGGACGCGTGCGGCGGCGTGCTGATACAACACCACGCCGCCGCACGAGTATGTGTGAGTGTATGTATACCTAATCTGTAGGGTGTTCACACGATGCGTAATTAATTACATAATTTTCGGTTAACTTTACTTAGAAGTTTATTAATATTTATGTAATATTAATTTTTATTTTGTCATATATGATCGTCAAATATCACGTCCTCAAGTATCGATAGTAATTCACCAGTCACCCTGTATATGATCGTGTCGTTCGTTTCCTCACCTTAAACACAGCGTCGTTCTCGTACAGTACGGGCGTGTTGGGTCGCGAGGTCCGGATGTAGCAGATGCCGCGCGTGCCGGCCGCTAGCTCCACCGCGCGCTCCGTGCTCACCGCGTCACTGTAGTACAGACAGACAGAGAGAGACGGAGCGATGTGTGTGTGTGTGATAGAAAAGGAAGGGCGAGGGGGGGGGGGGTGTACTCACGAGGGGTAGAACACGGTGGCGGTGGGCACGGCGCGGAACATGGCCAGGTCCTCGAGCCCCATCTGCGAGGGGCCGTCCTCCCCGATACTGACGCCGCAGTGAGACCCCACCAGGTTCATGTTGCTCTGGCTGATGGCGCCCATGCGGATCTACGACACGTTATACACGTTGAAACCAAATGTCTCCACTACACGCAACTCCGGGGGTTGATAATATATATCACGTTATATATTTTCACATTACACATACCTTAATTCTTTTGTTACAACGTCATTTTCAATTTGCCGTGTAATTCATTTAGAATCTCCATATATTTAAGTGGAATACATTATATAAATTATTAAATATCCGCCATACGTTTTTTTTATTTCTAAATACTCGCTGTTGTAAATGAATACTGTCTTTTTATATAAAAATCATCATGTAAAAGCTTTCACTGAATAACATGTTTTACTGAGAGTATAACAAAACATTACGTATTATGTATTAAAAAATAAAAATTTGTTTGTTACTGTAACTTATAAATATACAACAGATACAGCTAGGGAGCTACTTTTAAGTTATAGAATTAACTTGTGTTAGGAGTCCCCGCTCTTCCACAAACGGAATCAAGTACATCAAGGTAAACACAATGAAAAATAACATTATTATACAAATTAAAAAACGTTTAAACAGGTAACATATAACTTCAATGTATATTTATTCATATAACGCGCATGTGTGTGTGTGTGTGTGTGTGTGTGTGTGTGTGAGAGTGAGTGTTTGTGATAGTCAGTTGTACTGTTTTAAATAATTAGATCTATGTGATTCTTGTCTGAATGTTACTGCCCTCGTTCGTCTATAGAGATCGCGAGAGTACGACAAACATTTTGTTATAGCACTCGAGTCTGTTGAGCCACACATGATGTGGACCAGGTCATGACACTAGTGCGGGGCTACGACTGACTTACTAATAACGTGTGTATGTGTGTGTGTACCTGGTCAAAGGTCCTGGTGAAGAAGGCGGCGAAGGTGGAGGCGAACACCACGGCGCGGTCTCTACACGCGGCGCCGGTCGCCACACCCACGAGCGTCTGCTCCGCGATGAAACATTCGATATATCTATAACATGACGTCACAATACATACACATATATACTTTACATAAACACAACAGTTAAAGAATGTCCGCTTGAACAGAGCCTTCGCGTTAAACTATAGTTGATGTTATAATAATAATAGAATATCTGGTTACCGAGCTTTGCTCGGTATTTAGAAATTATTAGTATTTATTTTATGTTTTTTTATTAATTTCGTTTAGGCATTTTTAAGTGAACACGTTAAGAAGTCACAAAACAATATAAGGGTGAATATACGCTATTTCGTTTTTTCGTGTCCCAGAAGGAAATGTTATCGGTTCCATTCAGTATTTATAATTTATTTATTTCAAAATATTTAAAAATTAGTAATCACAGGGGCCAGACCATTATTCAATTTTATTTCAGTTTTATAAGCACCAGAGGGAAAAAATTAAATGTGTTACCAGAAGAGTGACACTGTTGCCAGAGTAGTAACAAATCAAAGCAGGGTATTGTCATACCATTGATTAATTATTATTATTATTAGCTAAGAAAGTTGACTACTATTAAATAAAACGTCTATTTACGTCTGTATAAAAAAATGTCACTTCTTATGCTATCATGTATGTTATATGCCAGGGAAGTGACAAAATCACACATGATGTATTAAAATTAACATAATTCGTTTTTCATTCTCCAGTTTAAGTTGATATATGACATCTACGGACAATAAACATTGATTATAGAAATTAACAATTTTGTGACGATGAAATACATATATATACCAAAGGAAATACGACTGGCACAAAATTACTTTCCGAAAGTTTATCGAAAACTGCTCCATTTTTTTTTATTTTGCTTAAATTATTTACCTTGCCTCTTTTTTAATAAATTTTTAAGTCTTTGAATTCCGCGAGTAACAGTATTGTAACAGTATTGTAACATGACTCGAAAATAAGTTGTATTATTTTATATTAATAAATATTTTTACTCTTAATGTTGTTTAAAATATGTTTCGATTTTTATTAAAACGTATGACCACATTAAATAAAAAACATAATTGTGTACTTTTTGAAAGTATTCAGTTCATTTTATTTCATAAGTGGGAACGCCAGAGAAGTATACATTTTTAACTATTTTACATTATATAATTATCGTGAATAGTCTTTGTGGGCCAGATAAAATGCCATATTCTTTATTATTTAAGCATAAAGAGACAATGATATAATGAGTTTCACATAAAATTTGTCTATAGACAAATGGAATTCAAATAGTGTATATTCACCCATAAATCAACAATTAATTTCTTTCAAAACAAACAATCATTGACTTCCTGTTACTTAGCAACGCCACCTTTTGTTGTTTCATTAAAGCAATAGAAAAAAACAATTAGCAAAAAGTATCAATATAGATGTCAGGAAGAGTCATATTTTAAACGACTCCTTTTTGTATTTTTTAAAATAAAATGCTAAAAATTATTCCTAACTAGATCGATTTATCGACCCCGAAATCCCCTACATACTAAATTTCATGAAAATCGTTACAGCGGATTCCGAGATTTCAATATACAGGGTGACTGGTGAATTACTATCAATATTTAAGGAGCATACTCGGTACATGATTCTCATTCGAATTATGTAAAAAAAATAGGTACTTAATTTTTGACAAAATTTCCGTATATATAAATAAAGTGTGGACACGTTCCAAGTGTTCCAAGTGTGGACGCGTGCGGCGGCGTGCTGATACAACAACATGCCGCCGCGCGCGAGTGTGTGTGTGTGTGTATACCTAATCTGTAGGGTGTTCATACGATGCGTAATTAATTACATAACTTTTGGTTAACTTTACTTAGAAGTTTATTAATATTTATATTAATTTTTATTTTGTTATATATGATCGTCAAATATCACGTCCTCAAATATCGATAGTAATTCACCAGTCACCCTGTATATACAGGAATTGCTCGTTTAAATATATAAGATTACTAACCTGTCGGGGTAGGCGTTACGAAGTTTGTCACTGAAAGTGGAGTTCTTCGTGTCACCGTCCAAGGCAATTACTCTGAAATATAAAATAGATGTTGGTAAGTTTAATATAAGGAATTAATTACACAGGGAAACATTTTTAAGTTTATCTTACTATATAGTATAATAATATTTAGAGACTGGTTTTACATTGCTTTCTATATTTGCTAAGTCACTGGTGTTGAAACAAAAATAATTATTTACGAGAACATTGTCTCAGCTATGAACGCGACTAGTATTTGTAGACGATAGATGTCGCTGTCACTTAGAAACTTTTTTATTTAAGTACTCATTACTAATTTATCTAAATTATCTTTCGAAGTAAATGCAGACGAAGTCGCGGTCATATATTGTCATCGTTGAATTGAATATCGTATTGTACCTCTGGTTATTGTCAGCTAGTTTCTTGAGTCCGTGTCCGTATGCCAGGCGCGTGGCCACCAGCTCACCCAGCTTGTATGCTGGAGGAGAGGACAGCGTGAGGTCCTCCAAGTGGACCCGGGGCGCGGCCGCTAGTGGCGCGCGGGGCTTCAACGACACCGACTGGGACTTCATGAGGGACTGGAGGTGCTGGGGAAGTATATGATATACAAATACATGGGTGATCATGAGATTATGTATAGAGAGAGTCAAGAGACAGGACAAAATATTTTTTAATGGGTAAAATTAACATAATGGTCACTATTATTTTACTAATATTACACCTGATACATGTATGTCATGATTGTTTAGTCACTCCTTGTATAACATCACCCTTCCCCCCTCACCTTAATTATCTTTTCTCCCTCCGCCCCCAGCGCCTTCCCGTGCCAGTTGTCCTTGTCCTCTATCCCGGGGAATCCTTTCCCCTTGTAAGTCTTGGCTACGATGGCGGTGGGTCGTCCGCTGGTGTTGGCTGCCTCGTCGAAGGCCTTCACGAGCTCCGTGACGTCATGTCCGTCCACCACCAGCGTGTGAGACCCGAAAGCCTGGAGGCGAGCCTTGTACACGTCCATCTGTGAAACAAATAGTACAAATCGATAAATGTTCTATATCATGAAGTACTGCTACTGACTACTATGTATGAAATTTGTAGAAGAATCGCTGATAAGATTATTATTTATTTATTTTCTTGGTTTGCTGTAGCCATAAACCTTGACAGGCGATAGCGCGTGTCATGTTAAAGAATATGACCTCATCAGATATACATCAGATCAGCGCCTACTTCTGTTACGATGATTGTGTTTTGTTTTTAATGAACGTGTCTGGGAAACACCGTCGTCTGTCCGCGATGTGATATACCTTATGACGTCACCATCGTCAGGGAACCATGTGATTGTGATCGTAAATGAAACTTAATGTGGTTACAACTATGTGTAGATTAAAAAATATCACGAAAATAAAATAATATTTGTTGCGATGTTTCTAGTAGAACATAAATAAATCACAACACGTCTCCAGTACATGTAGAATGTAAGAAGCGGCAACTCAGATCACTGATAAGGTGAATGTCACGTCAATGTCGTCTGTTATCAGTGGTATGTTATACATATAACCCGTGTGTATACCTGGTGCTGCAGCGAGGTGGGCTCGGACTGTCCCAGTCGGTTCACGTCGAACACCACGACCAGGTTGTCCAGCTTGTAGTGACCCGCGAAGTGCAGCGCCTCCCACACGCTGCCCTCGGCCGCCTCGCCGTCACCAACCAGGCAGTACACCCTGCAACGTGACACTCGTCATACTACCTACATACAAACAGGAGCATGATCTCAAACTTGTCGCCTCACCTGTACGGCGCCTGGTCGAAGTACTTCCCGACGTAGGCCATCCCGGCGGCCACAGCCAGCCCTTGTCCCAGCGAGCCGGTGCCGACGTCCACGAAGTTCAACCTGGGCGTGGGGTGACCCTCGAGGTCGGAGGTCAACTTGCGGAGGTTCTTGAGGTCGTCCAGAGGGAACAGGCCGGCCTCCGCCCACGCCGCGTAGAGGATCGGCGCCGCGTGACCCTGTGGCGGTCAGTATAATTTCTTGAAATGTCAAAGTTTTTGATCCATTAAGTTAGGTTTCATATTTATTTAATATATACAAAATATCTAACTATGTTACAAACTATGAACCAGATAATAAACACATCCTACAAGTACTGTACATGAGAAAGTATATCACAATGTGCATATGCTTGTAATTTTTTTTAGCTCGAAATGCATTAAACCGATTTATTTAAAATTCTTTAGTATGGGAGCTCAGATAACAATATTTTACCTACAATGTATCCCTTTATTCAGCATAGTTCATACCTAAACTCGTCATAACAGTTGTTTTGCTGCATAGTCTACTTGCACATAATTAATTAACATTACTGCTCATTTACACACACATTATTGATTTAGCACTATACAAAACTAGTATTATATGAACAAACAGAAACATTAAATATTTTATTTATTTATATTTCAGTACCTTGGAAAGTATGAAGCGGTCTGCTGAGGGGTCCTTGGGTGCAGACACCTTGTACCTCATGGTGTGGAAGAACAGCACCGACATGATCTCCGCCATGGACGCGCATGATGTGGGGTGACTGAACCAGAAACACGAACATGTTACAAATTAATAATATAATATATGCAGTAGTAAGACTGTCATAAAACATACTCAAAACAGTTACAGTTTTTCCTTATTTCCCCATATTCCTTGTAACTATTTATTTCATTGATTTCTTATAGTATGTTCAATCCATCTTTTTCCCCTCAATTCCCATTCACCTTATATCTAACTTGGTCAAGTGTTGTGTCCGAGTCCCATATCAATATTTTTTTATCTAGCATCTAGTCATTTCCTGTTACCATGACACCTAATAACTATATCACTCAATTTCCTTAGTGATACTCCTCAATGATTTTTATCTTTAAGACTACAAACCAAATTTATCAATCTTTATAATTAATGTACTGTCATGATACAATATTTTCCTTCATACTTAAACTGTAGACATTTTATAAACTTGTTATACTTGAATGAATGAAATAAATATTTTATGTCAAACAATAAAGATCATAATGCTCACATTATTATTTATTGTTTCTTTATCAACATAAACTCAGTACATTCCAATGAGCTACATTTTAATTTTAACAATTCTCAGGAGCTATAAACAATGATCACTAAGAAGGGTATTGTTATTAAATTTTCTCAACAAATACCTTAAAAGAACAATGTACCTTGATAATTAGTATTGCATCATGATACAATTAATAATTCATAAAAAAAGATAATTATAATCAGAGAGTTCTGTGCAATCAATACCTACCTATTAAAATTTTATTTCTAACTAAAATAATATTTTCGATAGAAATCTTGTCCATTCATTTATAGAAGGTATATTTAAGGAGCATTTTTCCTATTGAATACACAAGTGGAAGATTTATAACATAAACTTTTGTAATATTTAAATGTGTTTGTGAACTTCTATAATATTAGAAAATAATATTAATTTATTTACCTTGTTTTATATAAATGGAAAATATATATGTTAATTAAATGAATAAGTATTGTAATGTGTGATTCAATAACAACACTGTTCATACAGTTCATAAGTTATACAATCAATTGAAATCATCAGCATTTTTTTATAATCTCAGGGTCAAGTGTCCAAGTTATTACTTAGCAGGTCATCACTTACCAACTCTTTAATGAGGAAAATTGTTAAATAATTCAATATATTATTTAATTTATAAAGAAATGTATTTAATCAATATGACTCTGTTAATATGCATTCTTTATTTTTAGTGTATAAATAGACTTGAGATACTTCATTTGGTTTCCACATGTGTGTTACATATGTGATAGTTATATGATAAAATGTGGTAAACTACTTAAATCCTATTGACTTATAAGATATTGTTATATGAAAACCACTAAAAATATACCCATTTACAAGTTTCTAAATCAGTCAATATGTATGTATTTAAAAAGATGCCATATTTCAATAATATGGAATTTCACAATATTTCCCGTTCATGCATAGTTAATAATTACATAGAACATGCATAATACATTTATATTCTATATTGAAAAATATTGAAACTGCTTAATCATGCACTGATCATTCACATAACCTGTTTGTGTACACCAATGGCAACTACAATCAAATTAATAATTAAAAGGAATGCAAAATAAAGTCCTTAATAAAATATTAAGTATGTTACTGTCTGTATGTACCTGTGTACAAGAATGTGTTACCAAGCGTAAAGCGATCTAACTTTATAACCTTCATAAGACCTCTGCGAAGCGGCAAACATTGAGGTTATTTTTCTCACCCGGATTTTGATGCATTTGTAGCGACGATGCTGTCGATCCTCAACTTATTGGCGATATCTTTTAAAGCTTGTATATCTACGTTCTTTTCACCCTTCATTTTGTTTGAAATAATTAATATTTAATACTAAACAAAAATCACCACGCTTCGTCCTATCGCCTAGCACGCGGCGCTTGAAGTGAGGGATTGGAAATCTAAGCAGAATGGCGATGGAAAGTTTGACTTAATGTGTCAATGTCATCGGTGACCGGCCGGCTTTTGTTGTATTTATTACCATAACACATTTGTGGCTTGTGGTTGTTTTAATACTTTATAAATGGGTTATAAAAAATTAAGTAACTTTGCATATAGAATGTTAATAGAAATACGGCAAGTCTTTAGCTATAATGATTTATTTACTTAAAAAGGGGTAAATGTTATTATTCTGTAGGCGTATTAAATATTACTATCACCAATATATGTTATCGTAACCGTCATAACTTTTTTACTATTCATAATTTTCATGGTTTATGAATACTTAAAAATAAATTTCGTTGTAAACAATTCAACAAAGGCATTAAATATATAATTGGAAGGAAGTGAGAATTGTAAATTCTAAAGGGACCATTTAAAATGAGCATGGATGTTATGTAAAAGAATTAAAGAAGACTACCGTTACTTAATAAGAAAAAGAATATACTAGTACTACTAAATGTTGTTTTTTTGAGTTAAAAAATAATAATGAAGATATTTAAAGTGTCATCTAAAATAATCAAATCCATCTTTGATCAAAATATTGACAGCTGTCACCCTACCATAGAGTTACCAGATTCTTATTTATATTTAAATTAAAATTAATTTGAAAATATCGCATGTTTTTTTCATAAATTTAAAATCTGAAACATTAAATGGTTTTGGAGCAACCATAAATAGTATTTTATTGATTGAGACACGAAATGTTATATTAAAACAAAAGAAAAACGAGACGAAACTTTTCAGCATTCAATGGATTCACCGTGCAGGTGCCGGGTATATCGTTGCAGGGAGAGGAGCTTCAACAGTGCCTGGGACTTACGACCCAGGTGTAGGTTTAAGGGGTCCCTATCTAACCGACATTATTATGTATTGATTTAGAGATCCTAGATAGCATTATAAGTTAACACCTGTCCTTGGGGTGACTCTGCTGTCCTATGATTTTGGCTTTGATCTTTTTTTTATATGAGGGGTTTCATTCGTAGTTTCATCTTATAATGTTATGTAATTACTATTCAAATATCAAAACAGGTCAGTTGTTGCAAACTTCAATCTGATTTAAGAAATTCAGTCTCTTTTAAAAATAATAATGCTTTGGATGCGAACAGGTAAAGAATAAAGTTGTAAGAAGAAACACATCGAGTAACTTTTTCCTTGATATTATCGGTTTTATAAATTTTAGAATATTCTAAATAATATTTTAGAAAACTCTAATGTAGGTATAAGAACTATTATTGAACCAAGGAAGTTTTGTAACCGTTGTTTAATTTGATGCGAGAGCAAGTTAGACATTAAACAGTGATTGATTAAGTGGTGCCGGTGGTCGCAGCGGCGGTTAGAAAAACGCCGCGGCTGGCGATCGACGGCACAAAAACAAAATGAGCGAAGTTTCCAGAACAAAAACGATCGACTGTTGACTATACGGCGTGGAGGGTAGATTGAGGACTGAGGACCGGCTAGCGACATGTTGTGATTTTGTTTTAATATAACGTATTAACTGCGATATTCATTAATTAACTAAATAATAAATAATGGAATGTCTGTACGGTTACGCTTTTATAACTATTTGATTATTTTTTTATCTGATATTCATCTTTTTACTAAATATATGCAAATTTGTCCTAAAAACCACATAAACTTATTCAATGAGTAATAAAATGTTGTGTTTTCACTTTTCAAGTGTTATGAGTTCTTAAAAGTATCAAAAATGTTTTAGTCATTACAACGCCTGCAGCGTAATGATCCGAAAAGTGAAATGAGATAAACATGTAAATATAAGTGGATTTTCGAGTCTTTGCTATAATTTTTTAAAGCATGTATTTTTTTTATTGTTAATTTTATAATTTTTTGTCTCGTATTATGAAATCAACTTTTAATTTTTATTTCGGACTTTCCCATTATTCACTGGATATTAATTTGAAAAAATAAACTTTGTTTTCGTTCTTTACTTGAAGAATCGTCTTCGGCCATTGAAAGTTTGTATGTTAGACTTGTAAGGGTGTGAATGAAAGGTTGATAAAAAGTTGTGAGGTAAATAATTGAAGACATCTCATATAAAGAATTAACTTATTAAAGTAATACAAAAAACAAAACCAATATATATTCTAAATGTTTCAATATATTTATAATTTGACTCACTTCAACTAACTTAATTTTTCAAACTGATCCTTTTACCTTCCTATGTTTTACTCAGTAGTCAAAATAAATAAATGATCGCTATGATTCAAATCATTAAGATATCGGTGGGGCCGAATGTTGAACAGACCTGTACGCTTAGCTCAAGTTTCCATCGTCATTACACTAAACTATATAAGAAGATTCTTCTATTTGTCATTTAATAAACTACGTGAATACGAAATTATTATATACGAAAATTTATGAATGCAAGCTATGAACGCTTCGTATGTAGAGTGACGATACCAACTAGAGGTACATAGGTCATCATATAATACAGACAGCTCAGTACTATAATGATAAAGATGTTTTCTTGAAAAACTATAATCTGTAATTTATTATAAGAATTAGAATTAATGTCAGTTAGAGCCACAAGTTTTTTTTAGGAATTAATCAATACTAGTGTTTTTGCTTTGACCAGGACGAATGTACCTACAGCCTGTCCAAAACTATTGTTTATGAAAGTTAACTAAATTACTATTTAGTTACTACTAATAATAATAATCAACAAAATTGTTCAAATACGTCTCGTGTAGTATTTATTGGTAGCAAAAAGTGTTAAAAGATTGGTTTAAAAAAAAATGCATTGTCTAAGGTTACATTGTCTTATTTTCATTAAGTAGGACGAGGTTTTTAACATTTCTTAAACATCGAATGATTATTAGAATTTTGTTTAATTTGGCAGCGAAAATAAACGTTCACATCCTGATATTTTAATGATAAAGATTTTTAAAGAAGCCTTTGCAATACTACTGCGGTGACGGCAATAAATACTAAGTATGTAAACCAGGGTGTTTCTTTCCTAAAAACTGACAATAAGCTATCTCAGTGAAGAGAACAGTTTGTGGTGATTTTAAAAATTATTGTATCATCAGGAATGTTACATGGAGCTGAAATAAACAAGACAAGGTTTTAGTCATGACTCATGTGCAGTAGTTATTTGTTGTGTGACACATGATACAGGGAAAACAGAATAAGAAATACGTTCGATGACAATTTCGATAAATAGATAAACATAGTAATGTAATGGCATTATATCTTAATAAGTATCGCTAGTAACTGACACTACGCTTTCAATCATAGACGAAGCGCTGGTATTCTTATTGTATAGAAATTTATTATACAAAGAGGTTAGCATTAGAAGTCATTTTGTAATTGAAGTCCTTTTAGTTTCCAAATCTTTGGGATGCCTGAGTAGTAGGACACTTAAATTTTGTATATAAAGTACAGGGTTCAAGGTTGGCCACACCAATAAAGGTATTCTTATGTTTGGCTCGGTGTCCCTGAAAGACCACCTCTATTATCTTGACTCCGTACATCGCCAGGTATTTCCACTTGTCGAAAATTCCAGTCTTACATAATCTTTAATGCTTGGATCTCTAAGTACCATTGAGACTTTAGAACTCGTGAGCTCACACTCTGCGTCTTCTATTGTTTGTATAATGAGAAATTTATAAGAGTTCTTTCGAACGTTCAATGTCAAAGTAATAATAATAATGATAGTAGAATACAGATCGTTATCGGGACTAGTTGTGATAACTCCGTGAATGTAACATAACTTGGACGGAGTTGTATCACAACATTATTAAATGTGATCGACCATCACGTAAACAATACGAACGAGAGAAACGACGCGATCAAATACGTTCTGATATTGAATTGATAAGCACGAGAACATGCCCATATATTGTATATCCTTACAGAAAGATCACTACGACTCAATCTGATCCTTACGTTTAATATATAAGGTTGTTTTTTTATCGAGTCGTCTGTGAGTTGGATAGTAAAGGTTATGCGATAAAATGGGGTGGGTATTCTGTTTAGAATCGCTGACATATCATGGGGAGATCACCTGATACTGTTGCCTTGTTGCTGTCATAGAGTGGACATTACGGGAATAATGACGACGAATACACCGGGAGATGAGAGGAGGAGAGGAGGAGGAGGGCCGTGTAGTAGTGACACGTTGTAAATATTAAGTTAAGATGATTGTTTACTTATCTTAACGACACCTTCACTGTGTAATGTGTCTGACCAACATAATATTATATATCTCAAGTTTGTTATTGAAATATTTATATTGATATAGTATATTTTTTTTACACAGTGTATTTATCTAAAGAACAGTAATGTTACCTCTATGAAGAAGTAGCAAATATATGTCGTTTATATGATAAGTAAACGGCTATTAAAAAGGAAATAAAAAATATCAATAAGCCATAGAGCTGATATCTACAAAGTGTACCTACCGTAGTGTCCAAGCGCGCCCTTTGCTACGTCATAAAAATGAGTGCCAAAAACGATGGGGAGTACGGCGGAAAAACACACACGGATAAATAAATATAAAAATAATAAAACTGTTGTCTATGGCCAAGAAAATGGCCGCGCTGGCCAGGGGCAGCTAGGGTGACCGTGCTTTGTACTTTATATGAGATACTTGGGACTTCATGAGCACTTGTGAAATACTTTCATACAAAAACTAAGTCTAATATAATTTAAAAATAATAGAAAATCTTCATTATGTACTAACTAAACATAGCTCTATTCGACATAATGATATTCAGTGTTTCAAAAATAGTCTCATGTACAATAGACAGACAATAGTCTCTGCCAATCTATGTCATTCATTTAATATATGTCATGTTCTGCTAATCCACGTTGTATTTATTCTGTCCATATAATGTAACATATAACATTATCCTATACCTCCTCGTGTGATGGTATCCCCGCGGGTGGGGAGGGAGTCGGAGGGAGGGGGAGGGAGGCAGATGATTTCAAATTCAATTGAAGCCCGCTGTCCCGCGGCGATCTTTCTCGGTGCGATTCCGAATTGAATATCAATCCTACATCATACGACATCATCATGTGGATACGACTTACTCTGTAGTTTATTAAGAAATATATCTGTAATTTACTACTAGGTATATATGAGCCCTAAAAGTGTCATTAATCTAGTAATGTTTTGTACTCCATATAACGCAGTGAAATAAAGAACAGAGTTAAGTTTGACATGTTACTACTTAATAAAAACTTCAGAAATAAACCTAATATAAGCGTCATTCATCAATAGAATATAATTTGATATAATTACTGATCATAAAATTATAATATTATCGTGTAGATATTCGTCGCCTCATCCACGAGTCTCCATTTTTGATAGCGTGTCGGTCAGAAACGTTTAGGAATTGTAAAAGGGCAAAGTTTTTGAAGTGTAGCAGTTAGTTGGGATTGTATCTGTAGTGAGGGAATGTTTACCTCGCGTATTAGCGCGGACAGATTGCTTTGTGGCTTTATATAACGTTTAATATTATAAGACTTGCTGTTTGTTAACACAGATCATACACGCACAGATACCTGATTTGTTAACATTATAAAAGTGCAAGTTGAAATACTTCAATAACATAACCCAGACGTACCGTACGTAATAATATGTATATGTGGCACAATATATAATAGGTATATAAATCCTATAAGAGAGTTCTGTAAAAGGAGACTTGTAAATTAAGAAAAATTATAAGAATTCAGTATGGATATATTTTGACTATGTTTAATGTTTTTCTTTGTTATATTTTACTTGAAGGTCATATAATAGCCCTACAGGTGTTGTAATAACCTCACAATTAAATAGTACACGCATTATATTCAGCCAGATTGTGTGATCACGTGCCTACTGACTACGAGGATACTGCTCATCACTATTGTTGTGTCATCACATAATACGTCGATAAATAAAATTAAAGTGTGTTTTGTTACTTTAAATGTGAAAGCTGTTAGCGTTTCCCTGAAAACATATCAAAGTACAGTAGGACCTCGATTATCCGGACTAATTGTTGTCGGTAGGCATCCGGATAATTGAAAGTCCGGATAATCCAATATATGAAGAAAAACGGGCTTTTTGCATATGTACATATGTAGTCTTTACCATACATATGTAATGTTAGGTGTTAATTTAAAACAACAAATACATATGAGCGAGAATCAACGTTTATTAAGAAATTGTACATAATTTACGTATAAGTGTTATGAGTGGCGTGGCGTTATGCAAGTTCTGACATGTTAATCTATACATATAATTAAATTGTAGAAAAGTGCTGTCTGTACATTGAAAATAAAAATAAAAAAAATAGCAGGGGTTATTGTTATGTCGATGTCGAACCCAAAAATATAATTAACTTTTTTTTTTGTCTGTTTTTCTGTTCACGCTAATCTCAGAAACGGCTGATCCGAGTTGGATGCGGTTTTCACGAATATATTGTGGTATGCTTCAGTTATGCTTTAGTGTTTGTTTCATGTCAATCGGTTCATAAATAAAAATTTATGTCAAATTAAAGAATCACGTCGAACACTATTCTAAAAATAAGTATATATTAAAAAAAAAAACGCTACTCATAGTCACTATTCGGCCTCGGCCTCGAATTTTGCGGGCAGCGGAGCGGCGGCGGCGGCGGCACGGACACGCATACTATTCTCCAAACTAGCGGGCAGCGGGCACCGCTGTATTCGAGGGTCGGTCCATTTGATTATACGCGTAAGATCCTGCCGCTCCCGCTGCCGCTCCGCTGCCCGCAAAATTCGAGGCCGAGGCCTTCCACGCGAACGAAGTCGCGGGCACAGCTTGTGTTAGAATAAACTCGTCGTGATTGGCAGTCCGGATAATCGCGAATTCGGATAACCGAGGTCCGGATAATCGGGGTCCTACTGTATACAATATCTATATCAAAAATGCAATTTATATATTTTTTTCTGTCTATTTGTTCCGACTAAACTCTGGATTGGTTGAACTGATTTTATAGCCTGAGTAGCGAGCATTATAAAACGAACCGCAAAAAATATGAAAATCTCAATTTTAAAATAGATTTTGTTGATATACTATCACCTTTTTAATTGTAGGCTTTTATTCTAAATTAATCTCTACAATAAGTCAGGTTCTGGTGAAGCTATTGACAAAATCATAAGAATGAGGAAGAGTCTCTTAAAGGAGTTTACAAGCATAAAATAAATTATTAAAAAAATTAAAATTTTCTACTATTAAAACCAAAGGGCCTAATCATGTGTTCATAGTGATCTTCTATAACCACTTGTCCACCACCGTATAGACTTTAGAGTGTAGAGTGTAGTGTGAACAGTGTTTTCATTATATTATAATTTTTCACATGGCGTCCCCTCTCACAGATAACGAGACATTAATTTGTGAACATCGATCACTGTTGTAATCCTCTTGTAATATGATTAGCGTGCTCGTTGCGGAGGCGGCGGCCGCGTGCCGCGTGCGTGACGCGTGCGTGCTGCGTGGATGACACACGCCGAGATACTGAACAGTTAATATAGGAAAGGGTTACACGCAATTACATGTGTTAGTAAACAAACTAACAGTTAAATAAACAGCATCATTACACGCGTCATCTGACAGTCAATGTATTATGTGGGACCCAACAATAGTTTATAAAGAAAGCTATTTATTAATGGATTACAAAATTTACATATATTTAAAATATTTCAGTGTCTCATTTTAATGCTTTTCTTAAATGTAAAATGATTCTCAGACTAAAAAACTCTTTCATTATTAAGTTATATAATGAGGGTTCAACTGTAGTATAATTACCTCTAGTAGGTACTCATTATATCTGGGTGCTATACATGTGTTCAGCACGTTGATCTGGTAATCCATGTTACAGATTCAACTAAAATCTTGCTACACACTGATAGTCTTAACATAAGGGAAAAGTTTATAAAGTAAGAAAGATATAGCACCAAATACTCCATACTATAGTATGTATAATAGTAGGTACGTTTGAAGAGAGGAACAAAGTTTGTTAGTCGCCATTAATTCGTACCATTTTGTGTTCTGCCTTATTAGTTAAATAAGAGTCTTAATATCTGCCACACGTCTTCATAGTTTCAAAGTCGTTAATGCTGTAGTATTACAATTTATTTGAAGAACAATCTGAGTTATGAGTAAGCTCGCTTAAAGTATTCAATGAAGGAAGCGGAACAATGCGGAGCGGAGGTTGAGGACGATCCTCACGCCATCAATACTATATCAGCGACACGCGTCACGGGTAGCATTCACAGAAAAAATATTTGACTTATTTTATATTTCATATACTTTTTAAAATAATTACCGAAAAGTAAATATGTAATCAAAATTCAAAGTCAAATTCAAACAAAAAAATGGAAGTTTAATCAAAACCAGTTTGATGTAATGTATGTTTTATTTGTATTAGGTAAATAACTTTTTTAATATACAAATATACAGCAATGATATGATGCTACGAGTATAAGTAATTGTTAAATAAGTATGATCAATAGTTTCAGAACCTCACGTTGAGAGGATTTGCTTGTAGAAGATCATCTTGTCAATAAATAATAAAAAAATATTTTATTAATGAATGATTAAACAACCAACAATAAGTGTTAAGATCGCGTGTTTAATATAATACTCGTATATAATATCTGGTCGTCAGTACTTAAATATTATTCAAATAACCGTCGGAGTGTATAGTGAAGGGTGTTACACTTGTCGGCGAACAAAAACTTGCTCGCGTCCTGTGACCCTCTTTCGAATGTTCCTAACTATTCCCGAATGTTCCCTGACTGTGCCCGCTTGTTCCCGGTTGTTTCTCACTATTCCTAATTGTTCCTGACTCCCTCTTATACTAATACTGCCGGTCTTAATAACACTGTCACTCATTAAACACCTGGTCACAGTACACTCACCGAGTTATTTAATTTTATGTATATTCTAAGTAATTTATCATCATTATAGTTTATTTTTTCATACATATAGAATAAATATTATCCCAATTACAATATTGAATAAAATCATGAATCAGACTTAAGATTGATAGATTTTTTTCTTTAAGTATATTAATTATATTTCTTGAGCCATAGTCAACAGGATTCCTTACAATATACACATGAAAGTCTTATAATTTGTTTTAACTATTATAGAAAAATGTAGACTATTAACAGTCAATTACTAATGTAAATTAGAGAATACTTGTAAACTATTTTACCTAAAATGTATTGATAGTTGTTATACATTAATGCAATAGTATAAATATTTAAAGACTTATTATGTAGGAAGATATTATTTTACTAAATTAATATAGAAAATAAGTGAATATAAAAGGGTAATAAGATCATATATTCATTGAACATCAGTATGAATAACAATCTTCATTTTATAATATCCATAAAAATAAAGGTAGGAAAGAGTCCCGCTCTCAGGTTTTATGAAATCTTTCCCAATATCAGAAGTATGAAAAGATTAGTGCGGGGAATGGAAATGATTGGAGAACGTCGAGCGAAACATATAAAAGTTTAAAGCGGCCGCACCTGGAACGTCATGGAAATAGATTCGACACCACCAACAGCTACAACCATGACAACCATGACAACCACTCACTACGGACGAGACATGAGAGGAGGAAAGATGACTGGCAGCTATTACATGGAGGGAACTTGTATACATAATAAAGAATAAATAAGAAGCATAATATGTTTACTTTAATTGAACGTGAATTATACTGATTTAGTGTTTGAGGTGTTTGATAGAGATTCCATATGAAGGGTAACTTACACTACATTGATATATAAAAGTGAAGATAGGTGAATGTGTGTTGGTGTTTCAGTTCACACAAGGACTGATCATTAAGGAACAGATAGTCTCTTGCTACAAATGTGTGTTACATATTTGAGTCGATGTTGTCACAAATATTCTCATTCGAACAAACTGATTTTATATATTTTGTGTTTAAAATCTGTACACTATACGAATGGAATAGTTTAAGAAGAATAAAACGATCTTGAGCTCATGTTATGTAGACGATAGTATTCCTAGTAGAAATGCTTTAAGAAATTAGGACTTTAAGTTGTAACAATAATAATTAGATATCTATTATTAATAGAGTCCAACAGTATATTTGATTTTTATTTCAATACTAACATTCTTTTGGTTCTTATTACAATTTGTCAGTCGTATAGTCTTTATAGTTAAAAAGATACATCTTGAAACTATTTTAACCTTTCTATATCCGAGTATTAGTTTGTCAGAGCAACAGTTTAAGTTAGCGTCTTTTACAAATTGAGGAAGTAATATGTTAGTGTAATATTAGACATGTGATGTGTTTTAAATGTGTTTATTAAGGTGTTCAGTTAGTATGAGCGTTGCGTGTTCTGTACAGTGTACACAGGATCAGGTGAAATTAAGTGTGGTCCGGTTGTTTCGGTGTTGCTCGTAACTCCCTTACAGCTTGTATTATTATAACGACAAAGACATACACGATACTACTGGAAGTAACCAACGACAGGTCAATGGATCCTACACATATTGTGACTGTTAAAGAAAGTTATCACTATTGTTTAACGGGACTACTAATTCTACTTTCATTTAACTGTATAAGTTAGGCTACCATACATTTGAAACACGAGAAATCTACAACCTATCGAGGTATTCTTTATATTTCATTAATATTATGAGCTTGTTTATCATACGAGATGTCCCGTGTGATGGTGAGTACTCAGTACATGTCTCTTCTATAACATTTAATTCTTTGTCCAAAAGGTTATAAGTTAGGTAGGTCTGATATTTATTCGTTCGGTTGGATTGTAGTTTTATGGTTGGCCGTAAATGCTCTGTTATTGGGCCACATTTGAATAATACGAGCACGCCGAATGTTTGTAATGCGCAAAAATATTTACCTCCGCCATCTTACGATACGACCCATAAACCACACTATACGGCCTCTTATTGAAAATACTTAATTACACCTCATTCGACAAGAAATTATTTAAAACATACATACTTAACTTAGACGAGATACACACTGGTGTAAAGACTGTTAATTGAAAGCCATTCTTCAAATAATTATACTACAATCCCTAGAAGCAGTTACGTCTAATGTACCTATTCCAAAACTCAATGTTTTTTAAAATTATTAAAACAAAATATATAATTATATACAAATATTATTATTTCCAACCTCTGTGCTTCGCATATACAATATTTTAATTGTATTACTTTTATCTCATACTTTTATAGCTCAATGCTGCCATATTTAAATTTTATTCTCCTTAATGTTGCCACACACGCTACTTCTTGAAATCTTACAGTTGTAATACTGCCAAATTGTTTGTGCGGTTGATTTACACTTATGTTAAGGGAATAAAGCTCATTATTGAGCAACAAGTTCGTTTTATTAATCCAAGCTACAGATGTTTGGAAAATAGATACGATTTGGAAGCTATGTTTTTATTTAGAACGAGGCCATTGAGGAATAAAGGGACGTTTGATATCTTACCTGTGTTTTGATTCGATGGGGGAATTATTTAACTTATTTTTATTTGACAACAAAGAAAATATCACAGGATCCGTTAAATAATATACGGCCCGGTGAGTTGTAGCTCGGAGGCAGATTTATTTTGATTGTACTCTGTTGTCTAAATATTGTTTAAAACGTTAAGGAGAGTTATGAGAGCACGTAAGAGTCGGACTCAGCCGTCCAAGTGATATAAAGTATTTTGTTAATATAAATGATATAAAAGTTATTAATCTATATTATCGCTAATTGTCCAGAGCAGTTGTTTGATTGTCAATGAGTCGGTGAATGTACTCGTGTATATATATAGTTGGGTGCGAGGTGATGGTGGGTGTAATTAGGCGCCGCGTGGTGCTGGCGTCGCGTAAATCATTCCCACTTATTAAAAATACGCTGCCAATCGAACCCTCAAGAAATCTACCTTCGACTGACGCAGCATTGAAATATAAACTTTACACACTGGCAACAGAGTTGACACTCCTTTGAATTTGTTTGGGAAATTCAATTGTTTGCAATATAAAGATTGAAAAAGTAATTTTTATAATCGTTTGGTGCCGAATGATTCTTGTCGGTTCCAATTTATTGTTTCTGGAGGAGGAGGAGGCGGGAGGAGGGAGGGGGGAGGGAGGAGGCGAGGAGTCTTTCAATATTAATTTTCTTTTCCAATGAAAGTTTATGTTATTAGTTTATGGAAATAACAGATGTGTTTGTTGTAAAGTTACATTCAGCTGCGACGTTACGTGTGGCGAAGATGAATAGGCAATGAACAGAGAGACAGAAAAAAAATAATTATGAAGATTATAGAAAACTGAAAAAATACAGGTTCCTTAATATAAGAAAAGTTTAATTAAGAAACACAGAATATTTCCTACAATTTTAAAAGAATTCTGTGATTTATATGTACGTTTTCATAATATTTTCCTATTCTTAAAGTCAATAATAGTTGGCTCGTAATTAAGACCTAAGCGTTTGGTGATAATTAGTTTTTTGTTGGTTAATGAGGTTGTAAGGTGTGGGGCTGACGAGGGTCCGGGGTCGGTGGGGGGGCGGGAGGGGGGGGGGTTGTTACATTATTAGACCCCACTTGATCCCGTATAAATTACATTCAGTGATCGGAAAAGATTGCCGCTGATACAGGACGTTGTGATACCGAGATATATTATTATATGTGTTTAATGACACTCATTAGGTTCAGAAGGAAAATAAATAAAATGTACTGAAGAAAAATATACTAATGATATTTATAACGTGTTTTATTACCTTGAAAATATTACATACGTTATGAAACTGATTGAGTTTTTAAATACCTATATGTGATAATCCATTTTCTTTATTAATATCATTATTA